AGGCACATGCAAATAACTCTGCCTTCTCCTGAAAGAATGTGATGACACGGAGAAGCAGAGCAAGAGATTCAAACACCACCAATATCCTGCCTAAGGTAACTTCTCCTGATGACCCACAAAGTTTATCCCAAAATCATCCTTAAAGCACATCTTCTAGAACTACTTTTTCTTTCTTAAAAGTGTCAGGGTTTCATCATCTTCTAATGAATAAGGTGCTAAGAAACTGCACCTGACATCCCCAGTGCGTTCTTTCTATCTGTGGTTTCTAGGTATCAGCTACTGTTATTATCAGTCAGAAAGGGAAAAAAGATCCCAACATTACATATTTTCACTGTCTGTGCAAGTGTCTATCCAAAAAGCCAGATCTTAAATGAACATCATAATGAACAGATTGAGTTCAACAGCTCCAACAGTTGATGGAGGTCTCCCCTTAAATCAGTGAATACAAACCCTGTAGTTTATCTCTTATTTTGCCTTCAGAAGCACAGGGACAATTAAAATTCAGATAGGCAGGCCCTGTATTTATTTGTCTGAAGACAAAATTCAGTCCCTCACCATCAACAACATTACTTGTGCATATATTGCATAGGTACAAAACACTTAATAGTTCTCTGTGGGTGTTACAATCTGAGTTAGATTAGAAATACCAACTCAACCCACCAGAGAACTGCATCATTGGTTTTAGTGAAAAGTGACTTTTAGTGTCTAGTTCTACAGCACTTTAAAGCACTGTGTTTGTTCTGCTTTCTGTTTTATTGGATAATAAACAACCAGATATTATTTGAAACTGGTAATCAGCACTGACTTCCTGATCTAAAACTCTGACACTCAGACACAGAAAAAAAACAGTAAAAAATTCCAAAGATTTGTTCCTCTAAGTCTTTCGGCCTGTGTAAGATAGTGCTTTACAGAACATTTTCCAGTTCTTTTTTAAAGGTGCATGTGACAGGGTTTTCCTCATTTCAATGGCTGCTTCTTTTTTGTGCTGAGTCTGAAAGTCCTCAAAAATGGGAATGATAGACCAACCTGGGCACCACAGAGTTCCTTTGCCTATACAGCTCATATTGTAAAATTGCAACTGTATGATGCATTGTCTTCTACCACCTTCATTTTTAGGATCTTTTTACTGGCATGCAACCTGATCTATTTTGTACTTAACTACAATTCATTATTTCCACTTGACCACTCATAGAAAAGAAAATGGAAGATATGGAATGAAAATTCCAGAAATCTCAGAGGAGCCAAAGAATTAGGTGAAGGTATAAGATGTCCCCAGTCAGTCAACCTGCTACTTGTAGTAGTTGGTACAAATATCCTAACTAACTGGAGAGTATAAAAATGTCTTCTTTAATTTTCAGTATTAGAGAGATTGAGGACATGAAATAACGTTTTTCTGTCTTTTAAAATATTTTTACAATACTTCTACTATCCAGATTTAGAAGACAGTAATGTAAATTATTATGAATGTACCTGTATAATATACATATATAGCAGCTGTATACATGGATATAGTATACATGTATAGCAGCTGCATAGCAGCTATGTTGATTTTTCAGAACTGATCTTTTTTTCTCTTGTTTACTACACAAGAATATAAAGAAATATTTTCCAAGCATTATCCTCTGGGACCGGAACCATCTACTGATTAGCAACAAGCCTGTAAACCATCTTATAAACATGTGGGTCATGTGATGCATGATCCTGATAGTACAGCCTGATCCTGATAATATTGCCATTCCCGTGCGTTATTGAGAGTTTAGGTTGCTGCCATAATTAGCTGCCACAGTTCAGTTGCTGACACAGATTACAATAAAATTACACTGCAAAGCACTGACTGTTCTCATTAGAAGTTACCAATCCAGTAAAAGTAAAACTACAGACAAGGATAAGAAAAGTTGTAATTGGAATTGCAACATACTCCCAGGAGCTTGGGCGGTGGCCCCATCCTCCCATTGATCTATGCTGGCACATATCAGAAGATGAAGCTAAATATGTGATGTGTCATCAATATCTAGCTCAATTAAGAAAGTCTTCTTCCTTTTAACCCTTTCCCAACACATACACATTGTGATGTGAATATTATTCATCCACCTAACTTCTACCAAAATAAATAGTAAGAAGTCTTTCCTCTTAACTACTATTTTCTTTCTCTAAAGGACTTGGTTTCCAGAGGGACAAGACATATTTTTCTTTTCAGCATAAGGGTTTGCCTCTGTTCTAGACTCAGCAGGATATGGCTCTGTCAAGTGACAAAAATAAGCTACCTGTAACGTGCAAACATTTTTTCTGTTTTTCCTTACAGAGGTAAATGGCTTGAGTGTGTAATAATTTATGTATTGGACATATACTTCAGTTTCCTTAAACTCTCTTTATTAAACACAATACATGTTTATTATATGTGATGGGATGGAGTTATGAGATCTTCTAGCTAGTGCACACGTGATCTTGTAAATCCAGATGGCAGTGGAATACTGTGCAAATATATCAGCACGCATCCTGAACCAGTACAACTGCATTCTCTGGGATGTAGCACTTGCAGTGGTGTGGCTTTCTGCCTTGGATAAGTTTGTGTGGATCCAGCTAACCATGCATTGCATTTTCCGTTCTGACACTGACTTGTGCAATCAGTGGATTGTGTTGCCACTCCTCCCTTGATTCTACACACATAAACTTCTAAAAACTTATCTAAATGTGATTCTGAAAGCAAACACAAGGACAGCTTTTATGTTACTTTTATTAACTTGACTGAATGACAGGTTAGGTGCTAGAAGTATTAGAAAAATTCTGAAGGTGCAGTTCCCACAGATCCATAAAATCATAAACACCAGTGAAAACTAAAGAGTCTCCCTTTCCAAAATACAGATAAAAAATATGAATCTTTATTTCACCATTTGGAGGTCATGGTTATATGATGAATTTGTCCCACTTCCTGATTTTCCTTTCTCTCCCTTTTTTTATTTCCTTCCCCTCCTTCCTCACCTTTTCTTAGACCTCACTTTCCACTCTCTGATTTTTTATTTAAACGCTGACTGTGCTCTCTGATGCTTATCTTGGTGTTTAGTCATGGGTGCATGATTTCCCTTTTGCTGCCATCAGTGTAAGTCAATTCCCATTCTCCCAGCAATTTTGTGTGGAAATAAACATGATCATTAATCATTTTACAGCTCACAGCCTTTAAAATAATGGCACTGGTGAAGGTAAGAGCTGCAGCAATTTTCCAGTATTAAAATAGAGTGGCCAAACTTCTTGACATGTCTTTAATTTATTAATTGTCGTCTTAGTGTTTCATATAAGGAAAAGATTATAACATCTCCACCTAGTTTGTTCTGCATTTTAATAATAATTTCTACACCAGACACGCTAAAAATATTTTTATCAACTTCATACTGCTATCACTTTTCATCTCTATTGACAGTGTCCTTGTGCCCACAGCTAACCCACTGGCACTGCACATCTGTTAGTTCTCATGCATTCCCCAACTTTGGATCAACTACATACAAATTCAGGAGCCACTGGGAAATGGGAGAAACCAGTGAAGCAGCTGAGAGCTTTCTTCCATTTGATTTAATATTTTAGCTGTTGATTCTTAGAACAGCAGGATCTTGTGAAAGAATGTATATTAAAAAAAATATGGAAGAAAGTGATGTAGTGAGATTACATTTTCAGTTACTTTTTCTTTAAAAAAAGAAAATAAAGACTCTTGCCTAATTGTACTGTCTGCTTGCTTGTTTTCTCCTGACAGAAATGATACCTTACGTAATAGAGAAGAGCTTTAAAAAGAGACCAAATCACTGGCACACATTCTTTATCACTTTGACTGACTAACTAAAAACTAATTTCTTGCAGAGAAGTCCTTTGTGGGCGAGTGGATTATTTGCCTTCCTTCTTCATGGCCTGTGGTATGAAAGCACATATATGAACAAGGGGCACCGCCATGGTGGTGTTGTGCTCCAGTGGCTCCTGGTTGCAGAGTAACCTCTTGGAGACTGTTCCAAGCTGGGTGCATCATTCCTGGGTCCAGTCAAGTTTAAGTGATTGTGAAACAGTGAATATGGAACCCACACTCTGAAGCAGCAGCACACAGTTCTTTACTGCTGGTCTATGTTCTAGATGATTGCACTATGACAAGACATATCTTCATACAAACATAAAAGAGGAGCTGTTTTAGCTGCTTTTTTTTTTTTTTTTCTGGTAAAGTGAGAAAGATTTTCTTCTCAAGGAAGGAAAATGGTAGAAATACAGATACCTCATTAGTCTTGTCCATGGACATGTGTTTTATAGTTAGTTGAGCTGTCAGCAGTAGTTTAAAGTATTGGCCCTCCTGTAATTTCAATCACAGAATCATTAAAGTTGGAAAAGACCTCTAAGGTCATGGACTACAACCATCAATCTAACACTGCCAGGTCCATCAGTTACCCATGTCCCTAAGCGCCACATCTACACGTCTTTTGAACACTCCAGGGATGGTGATTCCACCACTCCCCTGGAGAACTTGTTCCAATGTTTGACCAATCCTTTCAGTGAAGAATTTTTTTCCTAATAACCGATCTACATCTCCAATGGCTTTCCAGCCACTCTGCCCCAAGCCCGTAGCGTTGCATGGGGCTCTTGTGACACAAATGCGGGACCCGGATGTTCAAGAGAGGGACCAAAGGAAGGGAGAGGAAGAGCTTGGGAATTCTAGGGAGGAACCAGCGCGGTTCTGACCGAGGGGCCGCCCCTCAGCCCCGTGGCTGCTGCGGGATGGCCGCCCGCCGCGGCGCAGGGCGGGAACGCTGGGGGCGGACCCGGGTCGGCAGCCGGCGCCTGTCGCCGCCCGTGCCTTCGCCGCCCCGCCGTTACCCGGCAAAGCCGCCGCCGTGGAGCGGTGGAGTCCGGGCCGGCCGCAAGAATGGTGAGGGGCGGCGGGGCGGCGGGATGGCTGCGGGCGGGAGTGGCAGGAGGGTGGCTGGCGAGGGGCGGGGAACGGGAGCGCGCCGAGACGAGGGCCCGCTCTGACGCGGCTCCGCTTTTCTCTTTTCCCAGATGCTCTCCCGTGCCAAGCCGGCCGTGGGGGGTACCCCGCCGCCGGGAGACAGGCGAAGAAAGAAAGGGAAGGAGGTGCCGCAGCTGGAAGAACTCCTGGCCCAGAGGGACTTTACCGGCGCGATCGCCTTGCTGGAGGTGACGGTCTCCGAGCGGTACCGTCGTTGCCAGGCCGATGCCCGCAGGGCTGCGGGGCGAGGGGAGCCCTTCCCCTGCCTCGCGTCCCCCTCGCCTCCTCCCGCACCCTCCGGGCCCTGCCGCGGCAGCTGCGGCCCCTCACTTCGCAGAGCCTGGTTTGGCCTGAGAGGGCTGCCTGCTGCTGCCCTCAGAAATGTGAAAGCAGCTGCACCCAAGTAGCATCCACAGCTGTCAAAGCATCCGCGATATATGATAGCCTGCTATTGCTTTGGTTATCTGTGGGGCTGTAGAAACTGTGTGGCAGCTGACAAAATTCTTACATTCTTTATTTTCTACAAAGTTTAAGCAGCAAGTGGGTGAGCAGGAGGAGGATGCCAACCTTTGGATTGGATACTGTGCATTTCATTTGGGTGACTACAAGAGAGCTCTGGAGGTAAGTGAGGAAGTCCCACTCCCCGAGATTGGAAATCAGAATGTAGTGATAAAGCGATGACAACAAGAGGAAGATGGTCTGTAATCGGGAACAGCTCTGCCAGCCAGTTAAGGTAAAAATGTACAGTAATGAGGCAGATGCTGTGGAAAGCAGTTTGGATTGAAAAAAAATATATTTACCTATGAAAATAGAGTTTTTTAAAGTTATCTACTATCTGATTTAGTACTAGGCTCAGTAGACTAATTTGCCCTTTTGTATGTCGTAGTTCATGCCCTAAGTCTTCCATTCTTCCATCTCTTTTGCAGCTAGCTTTCCACAGTTTTATTTTTCATGTTTCGTTATGATTTTGTCTTCATTGTGAAGATTATTTGTGATATGCATGATAAAATTCTCTCTTTAGAGATTGATGCCCCTGGCCATTAAATGATATGAGATTCAACAAGGCCAAGTGCCAGGTCCTGCACTTTGGCCACAACAACCCCATGGAGCAGTACAGGTTGGGGACAGAATCAATGTGTGGCTGCCAGGCAAAAACAGACTTGGGGACGCTGATTGACAGCCAGCTGAACATGAGCCAGCAGTGTACCCAGGTGGCCAAGAAGGCCAGTAGCATCCTGGCCTGTATCAGGAACAGTGTGGCCAACAGGACCAGGGAAGTGATTCTTCCCCTGTACTCAGCACTGGTGAGGCCACACCTGGAGTACTGTGTCCAGTTCTGGGCCCCTCAGTTCAGAAAGGATATTGAGGTGCTGGAGTGAGTCCAAAGAAGGGCATCAAGGCTGGTGAAGGGTCTGGAGCACATATCCTATGAGGAGAGGCTGAGGGAGCTGGGGTTGTTTAGCCTGGAGAAGAGGAGGTTCAGGAGAGACCTCATCACTCTCTACAACTGCCTGTGAAAGGAGGTTGTAGCCAGGTGGGGGTCATTCTCTTCTCCCAGGCAACGAGCAATAAGACAAGAGGACAGAGTCTTTAGCTGCACCAGAGGAGGTTTAGGTTGGACTTTAGGAAGAATTTCTTCACAGAAAGAGTGATTAAGCATTGGAATGGGCTGCCCAGGGACGTGGTGGAGTCACAGTCCCTGGAGGTGTTTAAGAAAAGATTGGATGTGCCATGATCTAGTTGACGTGATGGTGTTTGGTCATAGATGGACTCAATGATCTCAGAGGTCTTTTCCAACCTAGTTGATTCTGTGATTCTGTAATGTACTTTATTATTCTTCTTTATGTTTTCTTGTATTAGGTAATTCAAGTAAATGAGACATTCTCCAAAAGCTTTAAGTCACTAAAATACATGTTGACTATTCAAATATGCATACGTTTTAATATTTGTATAATACAGTTCTGTCACGTCTCTTTCAGTGCGTGAGTCCATAAGCAGTTCTTTCTCTTGTGTCCATTTTTGTCTCCCATGAAGCTCAATCTTTTGCCAAACAATTTGTTTCCAGTGTCCCTGGGATCCCTTTATCTTCTCAGTAGTTCCAGCAAATTTCTCTAGAAATATTAATTAATTTTTGTTGTCTGCCTTGCCCTGTACCTCTGAGGGCTGGAATTGTTATGCATACCAGAACAAGGAGTGGTGTGGTGATAGCCACAAAACTGCATATAACTAGAGAAGATTTGAAAACAACTCTGTCTGCCTGAGTATCGTTTGTCTCTGTTGCACTGTTGCTAGAGGTGTGAATTGCTGGGCCCGTGCGATGCTGTATTGCTCTGTTAAAGGCTTATTGGTTTCTGTCAGAGTCAGCTGGGGAACATCTCCATCACAAGTCGCTGAAGTATAAGTGAAGTATAACTGGTTTTGCAGTCTTTTAATTTGCTTTCCCCAGAAGAAATATTAAAAACAAATTATAATTTAGAGTATTAAAAAAAATAAAAAGAAAATAAATAGATTATAGAACGATGATGATATTTTCTCTTAGATAAAATGAAGTGTTTAACTATAGTAATATGTGGTCACGTGCACAAGATGCATACGTGAGGTGAAAACTCTAAAGCTTCCAAATAAGTTCACAAGGCACTCTGCCCTTTAAAAATTGAAGAGGAAAGATCCATTCGAGATGTTAGAGATGCTCAGGTAATTAAATTGACAGTATACACAGTACAGAATGTAGAAGAGTAGTACAGGACCTAATGGTAAATTAATATTCATGTTTAAATTTGTGGAATTTTAAGATTATGAATGTAACAATCAGTTGCTGTAGTTAATTTATATTTAGGCATCAGGTGTTAATAGGGAGTGAAAGTTTTTTAAAAAAGAAAAATATTTGTATAAAAATAAAAAATAGCTTGCAATTTCTTTGAAATAAGAAATACATTGAAAATAAATTTGAAATAAATTCTACTCTTTGAAATGCTCAATAGATGCTTTTAGAGCCAGAGTGGATTTTATATGTTTCCTTCAAAGAAAAAGCAACAGCTTTTTTTTATTATTTTTTAATTCGGTTTTGCATGTGGTGTTTGAATCACCACTAGGGGATGCTGTTGATTCAGGCTTTTAAAAATTGCAACGTAGTCGCCTATTTCCCATTTTTCCCGTTTCTCTGCCCAAGTAGGGACAATAAAAGGTTTGTCTCAATGGTTTGTGGATTGTTTTAAGTTTGTGGATATGGGTGTTTTAAGCGAGAGATCACAGGGCCTATCTTTTCAGATTTAAGAATGATTTTTGGCACAGTGATGAGTCCTGATAGCTCTCTTATTTTTGTGGTCACATGTGGGAAATGAGCCTGTGCATCTCGGCGTAGTTTCTTTGGAGACTGACCATTGTAGTTGTAATTCCTAAGCCTGCGGGAACCACTCCACTGACTGTGGAGACTAAACTGCCTTTCACTTAGCTTCAAGGTTGAAGTATAATGCTGCATCTCCTCTGCCGTGTTACAAAGGCACTGTTGCTGTATTCTCAAGGGCAAATTCCTTGATTATCTATACACTTGAGATCTTGGAGCATTCTTTAGGGAATGCCAAGAGCACTGTAAATAAAATACTATGGGTCGAAGATTCTGCAGAATTCTCCAGAATGACATTGCACACAATCTAAATTATTTACTCTCCTGTGTGTGCCTTCTGGTGACAACACATAGTCTGTGTCACTATATTCACAGTTCATGGTTTGTAGTCCATATACCTATGGGGTACCTATGAGAGTCTTCAGAAATTATGCTGTTCAATCCATTTATTTGTAATGATACTTTCGCAGTTGCACAGCAACTTTTGGACAAGCTCGGGAATTGGGGTGAGGTGGCCATCATCCATCACTGGGAGAAATGGGGAAAAAGTGAAAAACACACAGACCTTCAGCTCCAAGAATATTTCCAGAGAGAATGACAGTAAAATCGCTGTCACATTCATGTGAGAGAATTCACACTCTCTTAGCACAGGCACACAAACAACAGTCAAATATGCTCTAAGTAGAGCACTAACCTCAGCTTCACTAGGGTCACACTTTCCCCTTCTTAGTAGTAGATGCCTTTCTGAAAGGTTGTGCCACTGACACTGGACTGGTGGGATCATTCCTACTGCTGTACACCAGTTTACAAGTGGTATTGCACTGGGCTTGACTCTTCCAGCAGTCACAGTACAGCCCTTCCCTGGGGACTGACTAACTTCCTTCACTGACAAACTTATTTTTACTAACACTGAGTGGCTTGTATCTTCCTGGCATCATATCGCAATCAGAGCTTCCCTAGTGGATGGCAGCATCTAATTAGTTTTCTGGAGTCTTCCACATCTATTGTCCCTAATGGGGAAAAACCCACCTATCTTTCTGCCATGACTTGCTCATAGCTCTAATCTTAAACCTTTCCTGAAAAATTTCCCGCTGTCACCCAAGGACCGGAATCAGAGCATCAGTCCAATGATTCTGTTTCTAAGCTGCCTGATGTGGTAAATTGAAGCAGCTGGGGCCTAGGAAAGGGAGGGTATTATTATATCTATATAATATTATACATATATTTAAGGTATTTAACATTTAAGAGAGGAATTGGCAAGGGCAGATGCAGTGCTTGGTTGGATTCAAGAACAAGTTTCACCCTCTGACTGGGCTTTAGGCACACAGGATTCTGGCATGGTACAGCTGTTGGACATGGTAATGCCATTTTGGCCCATCAGCTGCACACACGAGAGCAAAGCATGATCCTTGGGCCAGAGCCTTCAAGGGATCATTTCTGTCAAAATATCACAAACTACATGTAGCCCGTGACAGACTCTCCAATCTGCCACCTCCCTCCTAGCAGAGAAGTAGGAACCATTTCACCTCTTCAGTGGACAGGACCTCTTGCCACCCTGACTTTGCTAAGGATAATTTCAGTCAAATAGTAACTCAGGGAAGGAACAGGACTGTACTTGGGTAAGGGTTTGTCCATGAGCAGTGTCTTGTCTTGCTTGAGTACTTTTGTGGAAAGTGTGATAATACAGGTACACTCAAGTTACTGACAGCTGAAGCTGGAAATTAGAAGATGGATTTTTAGCTCTGGGAGTTCTCTAGACTTCTCTGTTACGACTCTAGCCAGGTTATGATGGGTATCCCCATACCTCCTTTGAGCACTTGTGGGACAGCTGTGTAGTTGGCCTGTTTATTGGCTTTTCAGGATCTGTGTTTGTAGGTTGGAGAATCCAGACAAGTAATAAGGGCAGTGAGATGGCCTCAGCATTGTGTCTGTAGATGTAGGCAATCATCCTGGCAGCCTGCTTTTGAGGAAAATCGCACGTGTCTCGTGATAGGGGTGTGAGGTGGAGCAGGGTGAATAGCAAGAAGTTGTTATGCTCCTGGATGGCAAAAGTATGCCACAAGGTTGACTGTTGGGAAAGCTTTCAGAGTATTTCATTTGCTTGCTTTTGTTGGTTAATTTGGAGAGGAGGGGGTAAAGCCCTTGTGAGGTAGTCTTTGAGCAACTGATGTTGAATGCCTTTCAGTGAGGAAAGGGGCAAGAGCACAGAGTCTGGGTGCAAGGCCCAGAACTACAGGATAAGGAGCACTAATTGTCCTAATTTTTATTTACTGTGTTTCTATAGATCCACGTTGGTACAGCTTGAGCACTTTTTAGTTATTGCTTGCTTTGAAAGGCTAAGCCAGAACTTGATTTGTGTTTATGCACTTCGTCTTTTCTAATTAATCTGCCTGAAGCCCTAGCTGAAAGAGACCTTTGGGTGCATTTAATCTGAATGGATTTTGAAAGATTCCAGATGGTCCCAATAAACAGCAGTGGCCTGTCTCTCAGAACTCCATGACAGGTCTATGTCAAGATTAAACTGGCCTCAGTAGGAAAGGTTGGCCTCTATGTAAAAGTTTTCTATTATTATAATTGTTTTTATTTATTTATTTATTTGAAATATTGTTGGATAGCTAGTCCCTGAAGTACCGGCAAGACTGAGCTGGCTTTTAAGGGCATTCCTTACCAGTACCTTCTCTGTTTGGGAGTGCAGTTTACTTTCACTTAGCAACAGAAAAAAAATTCTTTTTGCTTGCAAACTACAAACTTTGTTGTTGTCAGCATATTTCTGTTCTTGGGATTCATTGTCCTTTGGGCATGGCTTATTTTATCTAGTGCTGTGTATATATATCTCTATATCTATATATCTGTCTTTTTTTCCCAGAGGTAAGAAGTCTCCCACCCCCGGTGGCTCAATCTGCTAAACTCTCTCTAGGCAGATGGAAATTTCAATTCATATATTTGGAGGACAAGTATAGAGTCAGCAAGGGGTTGTGTTGCTGGGAGGGGTGAGAGGCTGATGGTAATTGGGAGTATGTGGATGACATTGTTTCAGCAGGTCTTATGAGAACATTGTGTGACTCTGCCTGCTTTGCCTTATGCTGCCTGTTGGATGTGGATGGATGGAGAGCAGGAGCACCAGCAGCAGGCACTTTCACTGGGATGGTCCTTCCTAGTAATTTATCAGAAAGAAATAAAATGGCATTGAGAGATCTCCTTGCTTCTTTTTCTAATACCTATGTTACACTGAGCAAAGATGTTTATCTTCAGGAATGTCATTGTTTGGTAGCTGCAAAAACTTTTTTGTTTAAGAAAAGTAGATTGAAAGATTGATTTGTTAAGTTTTTGCTGTTTCACAATAACAAGAAACTAAGCAGTTTATCTGGCAGTATTAAAGGATATGTACCTGAGATTAGCTCAGTTGGTCAGAGCATGGTGCTAATAACAGCAAGGTCATGTGTTCAATCCCTGTACAGGCTATTTCCTTAAGAATTGGACTTGATCCTTGCAGGTTTCTTCCAACTCAGAATATTCTGTGAAATATGTGGAATGAATGTGGATGTGCAAGAAATATCAGAATATGGTATCTAGTGGCTTTCTATAGCTGTTGGCTGTAAATCTTAAAATGGAAAATGGTAAAGTTAGGCACAATTTAGTAATATTTACTATAATTTACTAATCTTATCTATAAGGAAATCTTGAATTTGCCCTGTACCAACTTATAGGCTTGTGTTTTAATGCAGTGGTCTCCAAACAGTTTTGTTCATGCATCCCTATCAATAAAAAATTTTTGAGTACACACCCCCAATATGTATGCACATCTATACATTTATAAATTACATACCTGTACTACTGTACTAATATGTCACTATAAAACATACACAAAAATAGAAAGTAAAAAAAGGAGGTAAAGATTAAATAAACACTATTTAAAAATATTTATTTTAGTTATTAATAATACCAAAACAAATTTTCTTCCTGCAATTGTGGTATTATATTGCATAACCTCAGATTTAGAATACACATTGGAGTCCACAGCTTAGATATAGACTAAGACACTACCTACAGGTTTACAAAAACCTGTTTAACACTTACTCCAGTAAATATTCACAAAGAGACTTCCCGGGTGTTTATGGCTCCCAGGCTTTGACTGGAGGAGAACTTAGGAAAGCATCAGAAGTGACTGAAGAAAAGTTGATTATATTGCTGTCTTTATAACTTAGATATGTTGGAGTTTATAAATGTAAGCAGCATGTTTACAATATAAATATTTTTTATATCTCTATAACTTCAATATTGACTGAAATCATGTTCACACAGTGGAGATTTATAGCACTGCTTGTCCCTGTTGTCTGTTCTATTGCTGTAAACAAAAAAGAGTTAGGAACATATCTTAGGTTTAAGATGTAATAGTTTTGTTGTAAGAACTGCAAAGAACTTCAGAATAAGTTGTTTGATCTCAGTAATTTAATGATATGTTGTAAAATGGTGGAAGAAAGAATGATATTTAATACATATGTGTGCTATTACACATTTTTTGAAAATCGACCCTCTCTTCTGTTACAGGAGTATGAGGCCTTAACCAAACAACCAACTTGCAATCCAGATGTTTGGGTGAACCTTGCCTGTACGTACTTCTTTCTGGGGATGTACACGCAAGCAGAACAAGCAGCTTTGAAAGGTGAGATGTATGTCTCTGTTGGAAAGGACTGCTTATTGACTCGAACACTGAAAGTGATTTCCAGAGAAAGTATGCAATGCTTTATTTTCATAGGAATAAAGGATACATGTGACCAAAGTTGTTTGGGTTTGGGTTTTTGTTTGGGAGTTGTTTTTTTAACTTTCATTTAACAGGACAGTTGTGATGCAGTTTGCTTCATAAAAATACCTTGGGCATGTGGAGCAGCAGGAACTGAAAGAAGCATCTGGAAAATCATTCCTCTTATTAATTTCTAAATACAAAACCCAGCATACATCGACTAGTAACAAGAAATCACTTTTCTTTTGACTGATTCTGTGTCTCTGAGCCATGCAGATGAAGCAAATTAGGCTAGTGAAATTATAAAAAAATAAGCATCTGAGGGAATTCAGCATTCTCCCTGATATGGACAAGAACTCTGTTTACATAGTTTGAGTGACTTAGTAGGTGGTTTTGTTGCTTTGTAAGTCAGATACTAGGTATCTGATTCTTCAAGGCATGGAGTTCACTGCAGTCACATTATTACAGTCCTGCTTTAATCTGAACATGCATGGGATCATTTAAAGGAATGGAATTTAGATTCCAAGGCAATTCTTACTACCTAAAAATGTTTCTGTAGTTTCATTTTGTTGCCCATCACTTTTTATATATCTTTGTGATTTATGTTGTTTCCCATAACCATAGTATCTCAGTGCTTTCTCAGTGATAGCTCAGTCAACTTCTGACTCTTGCCTTTTTAGGATAAAACTCTTATTGAAGTATGGGTTTTCTCCTTTCTTTCATTAGTCTACTTGTCTTGCACTGAAAATAGAGTAGGGAGGAAATAATATGGACTTTCTTCTGCTGTGAAGAAGTGCCTTCCAAAAGGACAGCTTTGTAGTATTTTTTAAAAATAATTAGATTCTCATATCTTTTTAAAATCCCCAGAAAGAGGATTGAACTCATGCTGAGCTGAAATCCCACAACTGAAAATGTTTTGTTTCCAACTATAAAAAAATCTCATACAGAGCTTTGTGATTTGTATTGTTCAAGAGGTGTGCAAATTTCTAGTGTTCACAAATAATTTAATCTTTAATGTACCAAAAATTTGAGCTTTGGAGATTGCAATCTAGGACTTGAAGTGAAATCTAAAAATAAATGGGCAGTAGAGCCCAACATGTCACTGTGACCTAAAACATGGAGGAAGCAAGCAGCTGCATCCTGTACCAGCTGGAGTCATTGTCATCAGCTTCACGTCATGTGATTTACAGTAATCCATTCTGGAGATGACATATACACAGCTGGGCCTGCAGCTTGATTAACTGTGAGCTGTGAGTGAGGGAAGGTTATTCTTTTCATACCCCTTCAGATTAGTTAATGGTAACCTCATGAGTGGCAGGGTAGGGGGTGCAGTTAGTGGTACTTGGGTGCTGGAGGCAAGGGTAGGAATATCAGGAAAGGAGTACAATAGATAGGGAGTGTAGCTGAGAGAGGGAACAGAAAATAACTGAGTACTCACATTAGTTCTGTCAGTTCCTGATTTTATGTAATTGTTGGAGAAGGAACAGCATCCCAGTTTTTATAACAAGGTGCTAAAACTTTCTTGTGAGTACTGTAATACTGATGATTTCTGGCTACTTAAGCTTGGTGGTTAGGAGTCATAGCTGAAGATTTATGACACTTGTCCTTTTTCCACTGAAAGCTTCTAAGTGTGCTATATTCCCCTTTCCACTCCCATCGCTTCAGTCTTTCTTGTATTGAGTTTGAACTATTATATTTTTGTTGAAGTCGGATCCTCTTTTAGGTTTTTTTTTAACATCTTAGGATTGCATCAATGATGGCTGTTCGTAATATATTATTGACAACTGAGGCCATATCATCTTGTGGTCTCTTCCATGGTTTTGCAAAGATCCTGAAGAAGCAAAATATTTCCTTCAGTATTAACACAACAGGTGAAGTCTTTAACAGAACACCATTTTTCCAGTGCTGCCTCGAATACTGCTGAAAAAAATTGTAGGTGGTGTTAATGTTAGGATGCTTACCATTGCTATTTTGGGATTATTTTGTCTGAATTCTTGCATACTGTGTAGTGTTTATTGCTGCAGTTATGCTAAGCCCCTAAAAGTAGCATAGTACTAAAACAAATTAAGGAGAACTAATTTAAATTTAAATTTAAAATTAAATTAAGGAGAACTAATTCAGCGATAATTCTGAATTTCTACAGTAATAGAATCTCTGTGTGAAAGGGAACATAAATATGAGCTAGCTTTCTGGAATAGGTTTTCCACACAAACATATAAATATCTAGAAATCAAATCAAATTCCTTCTTGCCGTGTACTGTTGCTGTTACTTAAGAAAATTATTGTTAACCATCTGAGGAAAAATATGCAAGACACTTAAAAATTAGGAAATTATTGTTAAAAGCCATGAGCTAGTTATTGCATTTATAGTCCACAATCTCTTGTGGATCAAGGTTTTATGTTTATTTTATAACAGATGTGAACTGTTTTCTCTCATTCCTTAATTAAAAGTTCATGGTGATTTGGGACAGCCAGCAGGGCTTCACCAAGGGCAAGTCCTGCCTGACCAGCCTAGTGGCTTTCTATGAAGGAGTGACTACATCAGTGGGTAAGGAAAGGGCTACGGGTGTCATCTGTCTGGACTTTTGCAAAACTTTTGAAATGGTTCCCCACAACACCCTTCTCTCTAAACTGGAGAGGGATGGATTTGATCAGTGGACTGTTCAGTGGATTAGGAATTGGTTGGATGGTCACATCCAAAGGATAATGGTCCACGGCTCAGAGTCCCAATGGGCAGCAGTGACCAGTGGTGTCCCTCAGGAGTCTGTACGGGGACCAGTGTTATTTAATATCTTCATTAGTGACAGAGGGATCGAGTGCACCCTCAACAAGTTTGCAGATGACACCAAGCTGAGTGGTGCAGTGACACACCTGAAGGATGGGATGCCATCCAGAGGGATCTGGGCAAGCTCAGAAAGTGGGCCCACCTGGGTGGGGGAAACCCCACTATTGATGAAGACTCTGGGATGAACAGATCGAGAGCAGCCCAAGCACTTGGGGGTGGATGAGAGGCTGGACATGACCCAGCAATGTGAACTCACAGCCCAGAAAGCCAAGTGTATCCTGGGCTGCACCAGAAGCAGCCTGGGCAGCAGGTCAGGGGAGGGGGTTCTGCCTCTCTGCTCTGGTGAGATCCCACCTGCAGTGCTGCATCCAGCTCTGGGGTCCCAGCACAGGAAGGACGTGGACCTGTTGGAGCAAGTCCAGAGGAGGGTCACCAAGTTGATCAGAAGGATAGAGCACCTCTCCTACAAGGAAAGGTTGAAAGAATAGGGATTTGTTCAGCCTGGAGAACAGAAGGTTTCAGGGAGACCTTATAGCAGCCTTCTAGTACCTAGAGGGGGTTTACAAGAGAGCTGGAGAGGGACTGTTAACAAAGGCATGTAGTGACAAGACAGGAGGAATGGCTCTTAACTGAAAGACGGTAGGTTTAGATTAGATATAAGGAAGAAATTCTTTACTGTGAGGGTGGTGAAGCACTGGAACAAGTTGCCCAGAGAAGTTGTGGATGTCCCATCCCTAGAAGTGTTCAAGGCTAGGTTGAATGGGGCCTTAAGAAACCTGGTCTAGTGGAAGGTATCCCCACCCACAGCAGGAGGGTTGGAACTAGGTGATCTTCAAGGTCCCTTCCAATCCAAGCCATTCTGTGATTCTATGATTCTCTTAGGAAAGAATAAATCTGTATATCAAAAGTCATATAAAAAAGAATTACTGCAAATATAACCTAAGAAGTAGAGCAAAAAGGCAATAAAGAAAAATCCGTCCTTGGAGGTTTTTCATTACTGTTGTATTTTACCTCTTCTAGGCTTTCTTCCAAATTTCTATCAGATATTTCTGGCTTCTCCTTTTTCCCTGCTGTCTGCTTACATTACAGTTACTAATGTTCCTGCATCTGAGGTGAAGGTAGAGTTACTTCCAAGTCAGCTACTGTTGTTTTGTAGTCATCCCATAGTGAAGCTGCCAAGTGATGTTTTGTTTACTCCTTTTGCATCTGTGCTCTCATACGTTGGCTGAACATATGTTTTCCATGCAGTATGGTAGCCCATCTAGTCTTGAGAGAATGAGGCTGAAAGTATTCATCTTGGTTTAATAATGAATAATAATTATAACAAGTTACTATTTTTTTAATTATAGAAGCTAATGCTCTTATGTTGCACTCATGGTTCCTGTGCCTTGCAAAGGCCAAAGAACAGAAACTCAGCCTTGCACACTGGGACCGTGATCCTGGCAACTGATCCAAGTATTTAGAAGCCTGCGTAGTGCTCTTAGAAGCTGTTGGCTTGCACTGCATTAAGATGTAAGAACTCAAAGTGTTCTTTTAAACCACAAAATGTGCACCTAAGTGGGGCTGCAGTTAAGTCTGTTATGAAAAGCAGTCTTTTTAGGATAAATAGAATTTTACAATTTAAGATTCATGCACAGACAGGGTTGTATTGTTGAAACAGTCATTAAAGTTGGGGGGGGTTCCACCCCTTTAATTTTTGATGGGAAAAGCTTTGTAGTTGCTTTGCTTCTTCACAACTCTGCATGTGTCAGATCTGAATGTGATTTAACTGAACAGAGAACTTCTCATTTTACAGCCTATACTGGAAGGAGCAATATTGTACAAAAGCAGAACAGAGATGGGTTAACAAGAACAATGACATTTTCCAAACCAGTTTTACTTATGCATGTAGTAATGTTTGCCAGGTGTCAGATGGTTGTCACCAGTGAAAACGTGCGGATACAAGTGGGCATGGAAAAGTTATTGGGTTTTCTTTTACCTAGGATTGCATGTTCACCTACATGCAAAATTATCTCCTTGCTCCTTGTGCTGTATTTCTTGAGAACAGCGGTTATTTTCAGTGCATTTTAGCTGTGGTTTTGAACAAGAAGTTTCATATATGGAACTTTCAAAGTGCACAAGCGAAAATATCACATATTTAAACTTTAAAAGCTACTAGCCTTGTTTCCTTGTTTTGTTTTTTAAAGTATAGTCAAAGTTACAGACCAGGAATAATTAGTTTGATGATCTTTAACTTACTGTGCTTAGACATGACTGCCATGAAATGTGTATATATTGCAAGTAACTGAACATAGCTGAATGCCTTTTAAGTATTGTGGGAATGGGAAAATTTCAGTGAATGTCCTCTGTAAATTTCATTCAAGAAAATTCTGAACAGTTGAGCTGTTCAGGTGCATTTAAGTGTGAACCTCACTGCTGGACCACGGGCTTTTTTGAACACTTTTCCCGTACCCTTGCATTTTCTCTCCACCAGTGAAACTGTGGTTTTGAGGCACAGAGGGCTTCATTCAGCTACTGTATTCAGGTGAGCAGGGCGTTGTTTCTCAGGGACAGGAGAATAAGGTTTCCTCTGGTCATGTTTTCTACTGTCAGGATGGAGCCTTCTCAGCCTTACTCCATTCCTACCAGCTCCTGCTCCATGTGTTTAAGGTGTATTCCATGCCTGTCGATGTGTGAAGTGGTGCTATAGCATATGCATTATGTCTGTTAGATGGGATTTGTTAATGCTGGATGCATGACCAGCATTGCCTTGCACTCTCATGAGAGGGCACCAATGCCACACTGTCCATGACTCTATTTCATCATATTTTTACTGCTTAAGGCAGCAATATGGAATCCACCTAGAGTCTGAACTGCCATTTCTAGTGAGTTTAACTTTTTGTTTAATAATTAGTGAAGATAATTGTCTTCATTCCTATTGTAGCTGTTTATTATATTTTAACAAATACTTCACTAGGTGCCTGTCAGTGTCAGTACATAAAAATATACAGAACATCTTTAAGATCCATAACAGCTATGACTTTAGTGCCTGGAAAAACAGCACTGATTATGACAAAAATCCTAGTGTAGGAGTATTGGTGTGTTTAATAGATGGAAAGAGATATATCCAATCCAATCAGTGCTTCAGCACAAGGTCAGTACTAGACCTGGAGCAGCATCCAGTTTGTTGCCGTGCAGCATTGTCATCATGTTTGTTAGGATCCCTAGATTGCTTAGTACTGATTTAAAAAAAAAAAAAGTACAATCATTGTCTTGAAAAAGTAGAACAGAAAAAGAATATCGTGCTTCGTTGTAGCATTAATAGATCAGTGACAATAAAATTCTGTAGCAGCAGAGAGTAATAAAAGATCAAGCCTAATGTCCCTTAAAAATCATTATTGCTGATGAGGCAGTTATATCACTTCCTGCTCCAGTGATTGACAACATCTTTATCCAATATTCATAACCAGATTCTTTCTGGAAACTAATCTGTCCTTGTTCGGCTGTTCGGATGTTTCCTTGTCTTCCTCGAAAAATGCATTTGGCACTGAGAGAAAAGAAACTGCTGATATTGAATGTTTCCATATTTCTGCTTACTCTATCAACAGGGCTATATTTGTGGGGGGTTTTAAGCATCTTATTTTAAAGAATATCAGATAGATAGTATCATATGATATCTTATGAAGCGGGACATTTTTTCCTCCCTCCATATATCCGTGCACACCATCAAAACTCAGATTTCATCTTTTGCCTGTTTTTAGGTGTAAATAACATGGTCTAACCCTCCAACTTTTGCCAAGAAGTAAATAATAATTTTGATGTCAGATCAGATGCCAGGTTTACAAAGGCAGCCTGCAGTCATTGGTTGACTGGTGAAACAAGAATTCCTTGGTTTAGGTTCTTGAGGGAGTATTGCTTGCAAGTGACCATTTTCACAGTGAAATTAATGCTATAACCCACTGAAAAGGAAAAAAAAAAAAGGAAAACCTACTCAGAAGAGGAACACTGATGTCTTTATCCATAGCACTGTGATTATACAATATGTTATTTTCAGTGTAAATCCCACAATGTCATGCTTGTATTTTTGGAATCTTTGATGACCAAATGTTTTGAATTGTAAAGGGTGGTTGTGGTTTGTTTCACACAAAAGCACATGTGGAGTCCATGTGCAACCCTTCTAAATTTTGATATTAAAACGTATCAGTTAAAGCTGGGGCACATGTGGAGTGAAGAATATGCATTTAAATTAAGGTACTCTCACTTTCTAACTCAGTGGATGAAATATCCATACTATCATGTCAGTTTTACTGCTTCTGCTGCCTATACAATATTGATCATAGATCAGAAAAACTTTCTGTTCTTTAATAATTAGTCTAATGAGAATTCCCACATATGTCCTAGACTGAAGACCATTTAGCTTCTTAATAACTTGGTGCTCTCTTAGAAGTATCTTACAAGATGTGGTTTTGTGAGAATGCTCTCATACTGCCTTTGTATTTTGGGACTTCTCTGCTCCAGCAGCTTTTTAAAGATGCAATTCACTGTCCTCTTTTTTCTAGGAACGTGGTTAAACAACACAGCTTGGGGAAGAGGAAAGGGGAGTAATACTTACTTTACTTGTTAAAGTAGGTGGGCAGCCTTGCACCGCCAATCTGATCAGAATGGCCCGGGTTTTGGCGTTGTCCACAGTGTTACAAAGTTCACTTACTATGTGGAGAAAGAGTAAGAAGTCTGGAAGTCTCTCCCTAAGTTGCATAAAAAAAAAAATAATCCATCTTCAGAGGGGTGGTGGGGAAGAGGGTTTGGTGGTTTGAGCCCTCTTTCATGGTTTAGGACGTCAGAAGAATTATAGCCTTGTGTTACAGGCTATTGCTTTGCTAACTCTGCACTTTCATGGCGTTATGAACACAGTAAGTAATTCTGCTTTTTTTAAAGATTCCATGTACACCCTTTCTGTGGAACATAGGTTGCCAGCTAGTTGGTCTGAGCAGGAACAAGAGTGCTCATTAACTGAGTAGGCTAACAAAAATACATGAAGCAAGGGAAGGATTTTTGGGAGACTGCTTGCAACAGAAATTAATAACTCTGTTGGATGATGATATTTGTCTCTCAGTGAAGCAAAAGGCTCTAGTGACTTAAAGCTCTTCAGTTAACAATTTTTGTCATAGGGAGTGAGTTTACTGGAATTCCTAATCCTGCTAGAGTGAGAAATTTCATGAACTTTACTGGCTTCAGAAAGGAGATATCTCCCTTAAATTTCTCACCGTATCTTAGTTTGAGTCTTATCTGCTCTGACTGTAGGATTCTTTTGTATGCCTTTTGTTCCTAAGGACAGGAGAAATACTAGAATCGCATAATCACAGAATATGCCGAGTTAGAAGGGATCCACAAGGATCATCAAGTCCAACCGTTAGCTCTGCACAGGACCATCCCCAAGAGTCATGTCCTGAGTCCCCATGTGCCTGAGTATTGTCCAAACACTTCTTGAACTCTGGCAGGCTTGGTGCTGTAACCACTTCCCTGGGGAGCCTGTTCCAGTGTCCAGCCACCCTCTGGGTGAAGAACCTCTTACTAATATCCAACCTAAACCTCCCCTGACAAAACTTCAGGCCATTTCCTCAGGCCCTGTCACTGGTCACCACAGAGAAGAGATCAGTGCCTGCCCTTCCTCTTCCCCTCACGAGGAAGTTGCAGACTGCAATGAGGTCTCCCCTCCATGCTGAACAGACCAAGTGACCTCAGCTGCTCCTCATACGGCTTTCCCTGAAGACCCTTCACCATCTGCATTCCCCTCCTTTGGACACTCTCTAACAGCTTAATATCTTTCCTATATTACAGTGCCCAAAACTGCACACAATATTCAAGGTGAGGCCGCCCCAGTGCAGAGCAGAGCAGGACAATCCCCTCCCTCGACTGGCTGGTGATGCTTTGCCTGATGCCCCCCCAGGATATGGTTGGCCTTCCTGGTTGCCAGGGCACTGCTGACTCATATTCAACTTAGTGTCAAAGTACAAGGTGCATACACAACAAAATGGTAGCAGCACTGGGTTTTTCAATACACTGGAAGTTGAGAAGATTCCTTGAATTATAAATCACAACTTACTTCAAATGTGACATATGATAGAAGGAACCTTGATCATGAGTTTATCTCTTGCTGCTTTTTATTTTGAAAAGGTGTTACGCTTGTTTGTCACAAAAAAAACCCCAGAGAACTATCCAGAAATCCCTGCATGGAAATGATAGTGTGATTCCTAGAAGTTTTAAGCTTCATGGAAGACAGAGGCCAATGAAAAATTATTTTCAACAGGGATTTCAAAAGAAACAGTCAGAGAAAGAAGATAGGAAGGAGGAAGACCTTTAAACCACTCTAAAATTGGCAGAACCTGCCCTGAGGCATGACTTGCAAAGGCTTTTATTGAAGGACTGGACTTGGGCTACTTAATGAAAGAATATGGGTGCATTCATGTCTGTTGAGAAAGAGTTAAAAATAGACATCCTGAGTTGTTCTTTACAGCAGTACTTACTGAATTCTCCTTTCAGCACCAAAGAGTGGTCTCCAGAACCGTCTGCTCTTTCACCTGGCACATAAGGTATGATGTCTTTTCTTCACTCGTGCTTTGTTTGTTTTCTTTTCAGTTTGGTAAGGTGTAATTTATGCTGGCAACCTGGCAGAATAATTAAAACGTCTGTTGTGGCAGAAGAACAAATATTTTCCATAACCACCCTCCTGTATTAAAATGTGGAGGAGAAAATAAGTGTGAAAACATGATCTCAGAATAGATACCCTCAGCATGTTTCTAAGGGAAGTCTTACCAGTACACTTCACATAAGTTGTACAACAGGAGCCTGATGACATTTTTGATCACAAGGAGCCTGGAACATTAATGTTCCAGAATCAGAAATGTATAAGCCACTATTTTTACCTTTTTTTTTTTTTTGGAAGTGTACCAAGTTTTCCAAACTTGCAGCTCTCTTATACTTGGCAATTTGACCAAAATGGTGTATATGCTATTACTGATCCTCCTAAGTAATTCAGTATCCAGGAAGTCATATTGTTAATAGCATGAAATTTACTTTAATTTCAGCAACAATTAAGTGCTTATTTCACTTACCACACATAGCTATCTTCCCTTAAATTAAGTTTTGTACCACCCTGTGTTATATTTAACAAGAATTCTGCTACTGAGGACACTGAGTTGAAAGAAAGTAAATGTTAGCTTCGATGTCAGATTCTCTTTACTTAAATCTCTCTTAATTTTAAGAGAGAAATCTTTAAACCGTTTTTGTAGTGGCGCTGGCACTTACAGATGTCAGTGATGAGCTCGGAATGAATCAACTTCTTTTCATCTAGTAACTCATTGGAAATAAAGGGTTTTATGAAACTATGAAGCCCATTGCCTTTGGTTCTGTTGAGCAACTTGCCTTTTATCTGGAGTATCATTTTGTGACTGGCTCAAAGAGGGAGGAAAAGAATCTGAAGAAAACTGAGCTGATAGGTAGGAAAACAAATACATAAGATTAGAATCTGTGTGCAAGAGAAATTCATAATTATTATTGAAACAGCAAAACCAGCAAAGGTAAGCACTGGAATAAGTGACTTGAGTAGACTGCTAAGGTAAATAACATCAACTTTACTTTTGTAATACAAATATAATGTGTATGTTTAACTCTGTTCCTTGTTTTTATCTTATGTGTGTGTATTATGTGCTATTCAGCAATGCTTTTAAAAATAAATCATTTAGTTAAACTGAAATTTTAAGGAGCCAGTGAAAGAGAATTTGTTAGTGCTGTAAAGATGTCTTGTGAAAATTAGAGCTTGTGTGTTGGCAAGGCTTGCATTTTTCTGCTATCCATGAGAAATTAGATTTGGATCTACAAACAGCAGAATTTTTTCTGGCTTGGATAACAGTCAAATTTTGTGTTGCGAAATTATGTTTGTGAAATAATTAATTCAGTTCTTTCCCTCTTATCCATCAAAGCACGTGACATCTAATTATATCTAAATCACACCTTCAAGGAAAATGTGTGCTTAGTTTTAGCTTAACATTTATCCAGTTTGAACTGATCTCCTTCACTGGTCATATTAACTTTAAAGTAACACAGTTTTTCCAAATGTTTGATATTAATCACCTGCTGTTTACCAGCAAAACTAATCTAGCTAATTAAAATAGTTTTCTTGCTGAACTCATCTGAGGATGTGTCACGCTCTTTTTAGTTCAGTGATGAAAAGAAATTGATGAGCTCTCACCAGAATCTGCAAGATATTACAGAAGATCAGCTTAGCTTGGCATCTATCCACTACATGCGGTCCCACTACCAAGAGGCGATCGATATCTACAAACGCATTCTACTTGAGAATCGGTGGGCATCTCTAAGCCTTATTGCAGTGCCTGTGCTATTGTTGGTATTTAAATTCCATAGAGTTGCTTGGTTTCTGAAACCAAGCATGGTTTCTGAAACCAAGCATGGGCATTTTCCACAACTGCTATGTCCTTTTCGTATCGCAAAATGTGCATCAGTTGCAGCCCCTCAATTTTGTTCATTGCAAAGTGTTTTTAAAAAATGAATGTTTAAAAAGAAATCTGCTCTCTGTTGGTTTTTTTAGTGTTACTGTGGTGTAATTCATTCTGATATCTTTTTTTATTTTGTTACTTATTTCTTCTGAGATGATATATGGTTATGTACCTGCTTTATCTTTTTCCTTTTTCCCCTCTGATGGCCAGTCTGGTGATCCTTGCTTGAATTATTGACTTCTTCACCTCTTAACCTTTCTAAGAATGGTTCAGTTGTTGGGTTTATGTAAAGTTCCTTGCATTCCTTGAAGTCTGAAATTCTTTCTTTTTCTATTTATCCCCTTTGACACTTATTGATGGTTTTTCCTATCATGTTCTGCAAATTTTTAATTCACAATTTAGGAATAAACAAATTGAATTCTTAAATAGCTGGAAGTATTGTTTAATAAAATAGAAACTGCTGTCCCAGAATACAGCCCTCTTTTGGTGGTATCTCCTCTTGAACATTTCAGAGAAATCCATCATAATGTATATAAGTATGTCATGTAATGCTTGGGGAAGAGATTTTAACTTCCAAGTCCTGCAGAAGCAATCACTCAAAGCTAAATGAGTAACCTTCATAACAATTATCCTTTTACTTACAGTTTCCACAAATGCCTGTCTTATTTCTGTATCTAGTTCTTCTGGCTTGACAGCTTGTAATGACAAGGATTTTTTTAAATAATTGTACTTGATGCAAACTTTTATGCACATATTAAATGTCTTTGCATATATTGCTTAGAAAATCCTGTTTTGCCAGGCCAGATACAATGCTCATGTTCTGTGTGTTTCCTTGGTGTGAAGTTGCCACCGTTTCCCAGATTTGCAAATGAAAAGTTTTGTAGGTAGTACTTAAAAGCTGCAGTAGCTTCTGTGGAAAAAATAAATAATGTGAATCTGGATCTGTGCAGTCTTAGCCAACAAACTAGAGAAGCTCTAAGCATTTCTCAGAAACCCCAGTTTTGATGTGCTTGTAAAATATGTATAGACATGTGAGAGCTTTATTACTGATTTTAATGCTCTGTAATGGGAAACGTTAAACTATCTGGTAGGATTTAAATGTTCTCTTTAATCCTCTTTCCTGCAGGGAATACCTGGCTCTGAATGTATATGTGGCCCTATGCTATTACAAACTGGATTACTATGATGTATCACAGGAAGTGCTAGCTGTTTATCTTCAGCAAGTTCCTGACAGCACCATTGCTCTTAACCTTAAGGCTTGTAACCATTTCCGACTTTACAATGGGAAGGCTGCTGAGGTATCTGTTGGACAGTCCCTCAGTTCACCTTTATTTTAGTTTAAAAATCCATATATGTTTCTTTTCCTCATTATCTGTCTTAATCGGTAATGTTGATAATGGCCTTTATCTTGTCATTGTGTCCTTCTTTTAGGAATGTCACCACTTTCAGTTTCCCTGGTATTAACCCATCTGTCCACATGTGTGCACAGTGGTCTTTCCATTTTCCCAGTTCACTTTTGATCTTGTGTTTATATGTATTGTCCAGTTTCTAAAATTATCACATAGAAGTGAAAAAGCCAAATCTTCCAGTGACCTACCACTGATGGAGAGATGTATTTCTGTCAGCTTTGGAGCTCATTTGAAGCTTCACTTAGGCTTCTGTGCTTTTTTGGTTTTGTGGTAAAATTTTGGAATGTATGTAATTCCAGACAGAGCTCAAGAACTTGACTGACAGTGCCTCATCATCTTTTGAGTTTGGCAAGGAGCTCATTAAACACAATCTGGTAAGTAATGCGTTTCTGGGACTTAATATAAACAGCACTCATTTGTAGAGCTTTTCATGCTGATTCATAAAATGGAATATTTTGGTAATTGCAGACCTAACTGAATTTTTGCTGCCATGCAAGTCCAGGAATCCTACCTGTATAATGAATATGCCATCAAGTGTATTTATTTTTTCCCCTGGAATTTTTCCCTGACAGTGAGACTGTGTCAAGAAAAATAATAATGTTGTTGTTTGCTTAAGAATACCTTTGCAAGATATTTTGTGGAGCCCACTCAATAAGGACACTGTAGAAACAAGTCAGAATGTATGACCCTGAACTCTTTATTTAGTACCACAACAACGTGAGTGGAATTAAGATAACTAGTGAAAATGGCCTTCATCCTAAAAGTACTAAACAAAGAGTTCTAGGAAAAAAGCTGCTGATAAAAGCCAAAATACTTATGTGGTCTGCAGAAAAAGAGTCACTAATCACTAGTTAATTTTCCCTTCAGTGGTATTATTACTTTGCTGTACAGCTGGTAACAGCAGATTGCTCTTATTTAATGATGGGCAGTTGCTTGCTTTGTCGTTTTTCAAGAGCAGTCATAACAAGCTAAAGCTTCTTTCCCCAAAAGTTAAAACTGTTTTCAAACTGGACTTTTGTGAGTTAACGTTGTTTATTTTGTATGCTGGTCTTTTTGCCAGTGGTTTATTGAATAACTATGTTAGATTTTGTTGGAAGAAGCATCATATGAGACTGAAGTATAATCAACTGCTCCTGACCATTTTAGCATCTTTCTAAATAAATGCAGAGTTGTTAGTCTCATTTTTTTCGTATGAAAACATCATAAGCAAATAGTAATTTTGTATGTGTTCCCTTCACTCTTGTTTCAGACAATATTATTCTTTTAAATCTGTGCTATATAATGTATCACTGTTTTGAGCTGCTACAAGTTAAAATAAATTAATCTTTCCTGATGGATTAAACACTTTATATTCTTCAGAATAAAGATTGTCACACTTAGTAATTCTATAGCTATATTAAAGCAGGAATTATGCTAATCCCAGAGCCACTGACCTTTTCCTACTCTTAATATAGGAATTTAAGGATTAATTTCCTTGAATTAAGATATCATAGAAAAGATTTTGATACATGGTTATCAATCTGCTGTTTTTCTCTGCAGGTGGTTTTCCGAGGAGGAGAAGGGGCTTTGCAGGTCCTGCCTCCTTTGGTTGATGTTATTCCTGAGGCAAGACTGAATCTTGTGATTTACTATCTCCGGCAAGGTAAATACACCTTCCTCTGGCTTTTTCATACCTTCAGGGATGACATTCATTCATCTTATCTCAACTGACTATTCAATGAAATGCTTTTTTTCTCTGCAGGAAAATGTAATGTATTTCATTTGCTGTTCCTCCAGAAAATAGTGAAGTAAGAGTTTCCATGGCTTGCAGAGAAAGGCTTTAGTTGTGTGCAGTCAAATAAACGTACTTTGGCAGAATATTGCAGGTTCTTGGGTTGAAGGAGATGGCTTTGGGGACAGTGGTGTTTAACTGTTTCTAGTGAGATGACCTCTCTTATGCCTGAATGTGTGAGAATGGTAGGCATATGTCCTCTGAAGGCAAGGACAACTGTGTCTGTAAATATAGCACAAACAGGATATGAGCCTAAGTGACTGTGAATGAGGCTACAGTTTGTGAACAAGACACTGCATTAAAAATCTACTTTACAACTCTTAAAGGATGCAGGTATGTAGCCAGAATCAGTTGGAAAGGATTTTGTACTAGTCTCTCTCCTTCATTTGCCAGCTTCTTTGAATTATATCTGAATTTTTCAAAGCCATTACTATTCTCCCATTGTGTTCTTTTATTCAACAATGGGTTGACTGGCTGTGTGACTCAAGCCAGGTCCAATTAGGTCATGTTGCTTAGTCCCGGCTTCCTCTGTTCTACCTTGTGTCCATTGCCTTTCATCTCACTCTATGGAACCTGTCTCCATCTTCTCTGTATCCTCCTATCAGTAAGTAGTAGACAGCAATAAGATCTCCCTTGAGCCTTCTCTTCTGAAAGCTAAGGAAACGCAGTTCTCTCCGTCTCTCCTCAGCCCCCTTCTTGCCTTGGGAGTCCTTGGGTGGGCTCACTCTGGTATTTCATTGTCTGTCTTAATTGAGGGATCCCAAAACCGGACACCCTACTCCAGGTGCAATCTCACAAGGGTCAAATAGAGAAGCGTTCCTTCCTTTGCCATGATGACTACATTCATGCTAATATGATCCAGTGTACAGTTGGCCTCCTTTGCTGCAAGACTGCACTGTCTGCCAGGTTGCCTTTTAGCCAGTCAGCTCCCCACCTGACTTGTTGTTCAGGCATGTTTCAAACCAAGCAAGATGCAGGACTTGCATTTTGCCTCTGCTGAACTTTATGAGATTTCTTTCTTTCAGCCCATTTACTCAGCCTGCTGAGCTGCTTCTCAGTAGCTGGGAGCTTTCTTCACAATCTTTTATCATTTGCAAACTTGCTGAGAGTACTCTATCTGGATCATTAATATAAATATAAATAAGACATTCAACAGTATCAATCCCTGGGGAATTTGATTAGTAATGAGATTACTAATTAGAGATTAGTAATTAGATTTTGTTCAGCTGATGACTGTCTTTTGATAGTCCAGACAGTTTTCCATCTCTTTGTAGTCTTACTTAGCCAGTCCTATCTTTCAAGTCTGTATGAGAGACCATGTCAAAGACCTTGCTAAAGCCAAGGTATACAGGCATCCGCTACTATCCCCTTATCCATACAACCAGTCATACATTGGGTTAGTCAGTACACTTTGGCATTGGTAAATCTATGCCTGCTGTTCCCAGCCACCTTTCTGTCCAGTATTGTTGCCAATTTCACTATAGGCAATATTGGTATTACTACTAATAATATTGTTAATGATAATACACATGTGTCAAATTAAGTTCTACTTACACAGAAACAAAGTACATCTCGTGCATCACTTAAAAATCAGTCGTTTGCTCATTTGCCATTAACCTTGCAGTAATTTTAATTAGTTAGGTTCTGCTCTTCACTTTGGTGTACAAATGACTTGCATACTGACAAAGAAGGTCAAGGGGAATTAGGATTAAAATCTCTTTCTTGGTTTGGCTAAATTTCCATTTTTAGCAGCATCAGTTAGGAATGTGAGAAATCATTACTTCTAATGACTACAGCTGTCTCTCTAAAACTTAAATGTCTCCGATAAAGGTAGGTTGGTGTTAATACATGCTCAGAACTGGAATGTCTGAAGCACAAACATACATCCCATTTTTATCAGTTCTTCAGGGTAGTGACTTTCAGCAAGATTTGGGGCCTGTTGGTATATGGTTATAATCTGCTCCCATGAGATTTGCTATAGGCTTCTTTTGGAGCCTGAAGAGCATAGCTCTGTGTTAATGGTCTCACTGATGGAAATAAGGGCTGCTGTCATTTTTCTTTTTTGGTGGTAGTGGTGGTCTGAGCTAGCCAAAAATGTCAAAAAATCTTCCAAACCAACAATTTCTATTAAAAAAAGAAAAAGAAAAAAAAGAAAAGGTAATGACTTTTGGCAAGTACCTTGTGCTGCCTTACTATGTGACTGCTCAAGGGAATGGGTAAGAAAGCAGAGGTGTTGAGTGGGAGACTGGCAGCTCCAATGTATATTGCCTTGAGTGGTTGAATGGATGGTATGTACTAGCAAAAAAGGTTTTATTTGATAAGGTTTGTTTTTGTGGGCAGCTGATATAATGCTGTATTAAAAAAATTTTGCTAGTAAAAGACTATCTCCACTAGATTGTTTTACAAAGCCAACTGAAGTGCCAACATCTTTTTCTTTATTTAGGTAAGGTTTAGGATGTTTTCAGTTTATATAATGCTTGTGTGGGAAGGAAGTTGCTTATTGTTTTCAAACTTCTCAGTTAAACTTCTATACTAGTAGTGCTTTCCTTGTTAGAATTAGGATCAGGTAAGAGCTGCTGGACAGGTATTGAAATATTGATAAGGAAGAGATGAAGTTTCCCTACAGCATCATGTTACCCTATCCTCCTTGAGGGGTAAATCAATAGGAGAAAAGAAAATACAGGAAGATGATGGATTTATGATTTTGACCTTGTGCTGATGAGAAGGCAGCCACTAGGTTATGAACAAGGGGTCCAAATCATCTTTACTAGGAAAATTGTAATAACAAAGAAGCTATTACTCACTCCATGTTTGTTATTTAAGTTCTAGAAAACCATCACCATTGTGATAGAAATTCACAATGATTTATAGTTACCTTTCTCCTCCTGTCTAAATGGTTTATTTCTTAGTCTATGACTATTGGGGAATGTTGTGGAGGATAAGTGACTTGTTCTAATACAGTGTGCTATGGGTTGTCATGCATTCTAATGTCTGGCATTTCAGATGATGTGCAGGAGGCTTATAACCTGATTAAGGACCTGGAACCTACAGCTCCACAGGTAATTGGAAACTGATGTCATGGCACATAGGTAGAGGTTATAAATTGATATGAAATCTGCCGCATACAAAACTGGTATCCTGAGGACAGCTTGCCCCATTCCCACTCCTAAAACTGTTGTGTTTTCCATCCCTTCATGAACAATAGATTTAATATGCATGCATAAAGTATTATATATGTGCATATATGAGTACTTAGCCTGTTTATTACTGTACTGCCTGGGCTCAGCTAAGAATATAGCTCTGTTGTGCTCAGCATTTTGGGGAGCTGACCATGGATAAAAGCTCTCTTCCAACTACAGCTACTTGTCACTTCTGCCCTGGTGATGATTACCATCCCTCAGATCTGCTAGCTCAGGTGCTCGTACGGTTTGTCCTGAAGCCATTTCAATAAAAATGAGCTAGATTAGATTAAACAGTTTAAATAAATGGTATTCTCTAATCTCATCACACTTTGACTGCCATGAGTGAAAACTGCAGCGTCCCTTGGCTGCTACTGTAATTTTCTTTTGTGGTTGTTCCAGCAGCTTTAGTCTCCGATTTATTCCTCTTCGCAGTTTATTTTCCAAAGGTCACATAGCTGGGCATGAAAGGGACCTTTCATGAGTCTGTGTGAGGAATTATATGGAGGGAGGGAAAAGGAAAACCTCAAGAACACAGATCTGCTGATTCTGTGCTGAGGAGGGTCTTCTGATGTTGCTTTACATTTCTTGTGTTCTTCAGTATGGCAAGACTTACTTGAACAGTTTTCTGCAGCCAGTGGTCCTTTAGCCTCTGTTTTCCCGATATACATGTCTAATAATTCTTTATAACATTTTTAAATGAGAATCTTTGTGCTTCTTTTTCCATTTTTCGCTTACACTTGTAAGGAACTCCCTGCTAAGACTTGCCAAACTACTTGTATAACCTCCTTGAGTACTTCGCAAATACTTCATCACGATGCCTGTAGGATAATAATTTGGCACCTGTAAGAAAGTTGGTGTGCTAAAATGATTACTTAGCATCCTGGCTAGTACTCTCAGATTGTTTGCTTGCAATCCGTTGTTGGTCTGTGTAGATGTGTCTTTCTCTTTTTCTGTGTTTACCTCTGTGACAAGGCTGTCCAGGTTTATCAGGAATACCTACAAAACAGATTTATAGCTATAACTCTTTAATTTTAAGATTTGGATAAGACAAAAGAGTCTGTTGCATGCTGAGAAAATCTTGCTCAGCAAGGATGTTAGTGGTTATGGTTAACCAATGTGCATATTTGAAATGGGATCTGTGCTTTATTATAACAATATTGTACTTATTGGTCATATGATGATGAAGAGGGCATGAAAGGATGTTATCGTGTTCCTTCTGGTGCATTGTCTTTGACCACAAGACTTATCAGAAAACATAGTACTCCTTTGCATCCCACATATTTGGTAGAAGTGACTACCTAGCCAGTAGAATGCATTTTGGGGGGCTAAATTAGTTCTACTGTGATTAAGCATTATCACCGTAACCAGCTACCTACTAAACTGAGCTGGGATAGAGTTGAATTTATGAAGAAAATAATGTACACATAGGCTTTTATGTGTCTTATAAAATCTTCACCTTATCTTCTCTGATCCTTTTTACAATTTTTTTTCAGGAGTACATCCTCAAAGGAGTTGTAAATGCAGCACTTGGACAAGAAGTTGGCTCAGTAAGCGAAGCCCATGAAGTTCTTCAGCTTCTCCAACAACAGAATGTGAACAGATCTGTAGGGACTAGAATGGAGTGAAAGAGACAGTCATTTCTCATTTAGATTGCAGGATCTCTGAGTCTCTCAACCTTCTTCCACACAGTAGTCAGTCCAGAATGAGTGAAATGCAAATTTCCATTGCTGGTCTTGACAGTAAATCAAGCTGAATTTGGCTTCTCTATCCTGTTTCCAAAAAAACTTTTCTTTCTACAGTATTCTTGTGTATCTAGGCACATACAGTGGCACATTTACCTTTTCTGTTTTTCCTTCAGCCCTGGTTTGTCTGTTAGTTGCTCCCCATCTGTTCCTCAGAGCATATTTTCATTATGTATTGTAGCATCAACTCTGGAACTCATGTTGGGTTAATTTTTTTCCTCTTCCAGAGAGATCATCTGAAAATTGCTCAGCAGTTCTTCCAGTTGGTCGGGGAATCAGCCAGCGAATGTGGTATGTTTGAAATATTCTTTCTCCATTATGTAATCCATCTTAAAATATCCATACTATCATACTATCCTATGTCCAACTCCTGACTGCTGGCAGGACTATTGCTAGGCATTTTGTTGTTATAGGATGAGTATCAGGAAATGTAAAACAAATTTGGAAGTTTACATTAGAGGGCTCATGTGATTCCAAACCTTACTGTATGACTGGAAAAGAGGCTGTACTGCAAACTGCTAGTCTTTACTGAGAGACTCTGTGGCTTGCCTTTGATTAATAATCTCCATTATAGAAACAGAAGACAACAGCCTAATTAATTAGATGAAGTGTGTGGCTGAAACTTCACAGGTACAGAAACTTCACTAATCTAGGTACAAATCTAGGACCACTAATGAAAGCCTATCAAGTACATAGAGTCCTAGCATGGAGCGTGCACTGAAACTGAGGGTGCTAAAAACATAAGGAGGAATTTGGCTACAGACAAAAATGGGGTCTCTGGGACTAACTCCTTGCTTGAATGAAAAAAAACCCTGATAAAACCAACAAAAAATCAGCATATTTTCAATATTTACTTTTACTTATTCAATAATAGACCAAACAAAGACCTTATCTTCCCTTCCCTTTGCCAAAATCAAAAATCCCAAATAAAAAAAGCTGGTAGGTATAACACAGAAATTCAGATAAAATAGGGCTTCCCAGTTTCCTTTTTAGGCATTGTCACTTAGTACTGTTTCTTTAGGTGGGTAACTTGTGCATTTTTATGGTGCAGACAGGTCATGGTCCTCAGAGACAGAATGCTGTCTCTGGTGTCCATGGTGACTAAAGAGAAAGAGCTCAAGAGAGCAGCAGCACTGATGAAACTTTCAGAAATACTGTTGAGTCATTCTATTCTGTTCCACATGCAGCAGAGAGCTTCCTGTTGGAAGGCTGGAAGTGGTTCCATAGATGAGATTTCCCTAATTCATTCCTTTTGCATTGAGGCTATCCCTTTGGAGTTGGGATCCCAGATAACAGGAAGGAACAGTATGAACTACAGTAGTGGAGAACTTGGTTAGAGGGAATATAGCTACCTGGGTTTGTGATACCAGTAAAATCACAAGGTGACTGATACAGTGGTGGTAGATTCTTAATGCCTGTTATGGTCATGCACATGTGATGAATGACCATAGCATACATGGATAAAAATAATATGGAGATAGTCTGAGAAAACATATCCTGAAAGGATTTGTAGTGAAGATATAGCCCAAAAGCAAAATTGAAATTGTTAGGAAGACAAAGGTCTGAATTTCACTGTGAAATAATTTTAAACTCATATGCAAAATAAGGTGGAAAGGCTGAGACTTCAACCTTCCTATGGTTGAGGGGGGGGGGGAAATAATTAACAGTGAGTGAAATAATACTCTTTTAAAATATATGTTTAGATAGGCAACTCACCATACTGAGGCCAAATTATTCACCAGCCAGCCTGGATGGGAACAGTGACTGGCATATTAAAGAGGTTTAGAGATTTTATATAGAAAGATAATTAAATAATAGTTGGAGACTTCTGTTCTGCCTATATTGACCTAATAAATGCAATGACATGGCGTGATAAACAGCATGAACTTTTAAATGCTGTTTCCCTCTTTCTTAGAGAAGGCACAAGTGAACAGGTAACTCTGGACCAATATAGAGATTACATAGAACCAGATTTGAAATTTTGATGAAACTCCAATTCTGCTACAGTCATCTGAGTATAATCAAGTTCTAAATCCATGTGTTAGCAAATACCTAAAAAAATTTCCACAGTTCTAATTGCAAGAAAAGAACCTACATAATAACCTTTCTCATTTCTGACAAAAAATTAGAGTGAAATAGCAGTGAAAAGGATAAAATACACCTGATTTGAACACTTGAAAGAACCCTTTGTTTCTCTAAAGAAAGGGCTCGTATTCATAATTAATGAGCTATAGGATACAAATAATGACATGACTAGGTTTGCCAATGGTACAAAATTAGCCATAGTAGTAAAAAAGTAAAAGCTTCCACAATGATGAAAGATATGAGAGACTGTATAAGGCTGGGCAATAATATGCAAATTAAATTTAGCAAAATTATCAGAAAAGTTGAAGAGAATCTTAGGAATTGATGAGAAAAGAGAGAACAAACTAAAAATAATTACTGCGTATACATGTGATTCTTTTTCTTGAATACTGTTTGCAGTTCTGGTTCTTACATTTCTTAAAAAATTGTAGAACAAGAAAGGATACAATAAAGACAGGAAGGGTGATCAGAGAAAGGGAATAGCTTCTTGAACAAGGAGAGATTAAATAAAGGAGGATACATGGGCTGAAAAACTATGACTCAGTTTGATTATGTGCATCATAAATGACAAGGAAAAGAGGAATAGAGAAGAATTATTACTGTACAATACAAAAACCAAGGAGCATTGACATAAACTATCACACAAGACAAATAAAACAAACAGCATTAATTACTTTTTCACATAACACAACTTATTTGATGGAGAAACTTGTGAGAATCAGAAGGTAAAAAAAAATTGGTAGATTAAAAATCCATTAACTGTTTAAGGCAAATTTTTCAGTGACTAAGTCCTCAGTGCAGATTGTTGGAAGCTAGGAGAAACTTCCAAGGAAGTAACATTACATGCCACAGTATGTATTATATGTGAAATCAGAACATATTCTTTCTATAGCTCTATATTCTTACTCAGCAAGTTTCTGAACTAGACAAACTTTGGATCCAATATGATAGTTTTTATGTTCTTAGCCCCTGTATTGTATACTTGTGATCATTTTTGATCTGCTCCCTTCATTTTGCTGGATTTAGAATGGAGAACAGAATTCTTGCTGTTTGTATACTTGGGCTTTTCCAAAGCAGCCAGCCACGCTATTCAAGCATGTAAGTCTTGCTTCAGCACTTCCCACTCAGCCAGTCCTTGCAAGGAGCTGGTATCACTCAATTGTCTGTGAAGATATCAAGTTAACTGCTTTGCAGATTTATAATACAGAAGTAGGTTTGGGCTTGCTAGAGTGAGGAAATCCTTTGCTTGCAACTGGGCCTATGTCCTGGTTTTACCTGAGATAGAGTTAATTTTCTTCTTAGAGGCTGATACAGTGCTGTGTTTTGAATTTAGTATGAAAATAATAATGATAAATGCACCAGTGTTTTAGTTGTTGCTAAGTTGTGCTTACCCTAAGTCAAGGGCTTTTCAGTTTCCCCTGCTCTGCCAGTGAGGAGCTGTACAAAAAGCTGGGAAGGAGCATGGCCAGGACAGCTGCTCTGAATGAGCTAAAGGGTTATTCCATACTGTAGAACATCATGCCCAGTACCTAAAGGGGGGAGGGAGTCAACTGTGAGGGGCTAATTGTGGCTCATGGGTGGGCTGGACATTGGTAAATGGGTGGTGAGAAATTGTATTGTATATCACTTGTTTCTCTTGAGTTTTACTCTTCCCTCTCTCTCTCTCTTTTTTCCTCTCTCTCTTTTTCTCTCTCTCATTTTCATTACTACTATTATTAATAATAATATTATTTTATTTTATTTCAATTCAGTTATTAAACTGTTCTTATCTCAACCTGCAAGTTTTACTTTTTTTTTAGGGGGAGGGGATAGAACGAGTGGTACTTAGTTGCTAACTGGTGTTAAACTACAACAGTCACAACAGTCTGATAATATGGATTATCAAAAAATAATGGATTAAAATGAAGATGTGAAATATTTTTTCTGACTTGCTTTTGTTAACTGTAGAAATCCCATGACTGCATTAAGGAAAAAGCAGCAACACGCAGTTCAGGAAGTATAGTATCATTTATTTGTAAAGTCATTTGAAGTCATCAATTAAGGCCTTTGCTCTTTTTAATTAGATCTCTGACTTGAAGGTTCAAGGAACATAGAACAAACTGAGTTAATGGGAAAGTCCGTTCCAATAAATATACAGATTTTGTCTCAAGATGGATGTTATAAACTTTAATGGGAGTAGGGTCACCCAAAACAAAAACTAAAAAAAGTCCAGGAAGCACTTACAATGTAGGAGTCAATATGCATCCTCTAGCAGCAATAAATAACACCCAGAACAGCAGCTTGGTTACTGGGGTTTTTTTAAGCTTAGTAGATATTCTTAGTCCTAATGACATGAAATGGAACTGACATTATGAAGGAGGATATAACTAGATTTTTATAGTTAGTTCTCATGCTCTTCTACCAGGGTCTCAACTGAGAGGAAAATTAAACAGATCAGATTTTTAAGATAAGTTAAGGAGGAAATGGGACAAGAGGAACATCAGTGAAAGTAAATTAACATTAACGTTTCTTTTAAATGCAGTCCTTCTGGTGCTTAAGTGTTACAAACTACTCCAAAACCACTACAAGCATAATGAAGAGCAGCACTCCTTTTGTTTTCAGTGGTCATCCTTTAGGACCAAGTCAGGCATATCTGATGCTGGGTGGGAGGAATGAAACATTTCTTCTGGACTTCATGTGGTCTTTTCTTTGAGCTACACTTAGGTCCCCCTGAGTAATTTTTTTAAATGACAAATTTTTCCTCTTCCTGCATGAGTCACATGCGGTGAATTAGAACTGTAAAACTCTAGTTTTTCAGTCTCCAGTAGTAGTCATTGCTGAATTGTATTAGATACTCTGACATTGTTTGTTTTTTCAACGAATTCTTTCACTAAAAGTATATGGAGGATGGTGTGCTGGGACAATAAAATTTTCTACCAAAATGTGGACATAAGAATAAATACTAAAATTTAGAAGCTCTCGAATCATATATGGGAAAATTGTGTTTCTAATATTTTGTTACTGTGATTAATTTTTACTAAAAATGTATCCTTAGTTTTAGGTCTTCTTTGCAAGTTTTGCATTTTTAAAATTTTGTTTAAAATAAATTGTTGTGAGTGTATGAACTTCAAAAATTGAATGTCAGAGAAAATGAGCATTTTCAAGTTGTCTTCAGTGTCATTATTCAGTGTTTCTTCATTCTTTTTTTTTTGTTGCAAAACTGTTTCTGTTATTGTCCTGTAGAGGCATGTATTTGTGATGAAAAGTATGCATGCATGTAAAAAAGGGCATATAAATATACAGGCCAGTTTTGCTCACAAGTGAACAATTCATAAATAACCAAATAATTTTCTGAATTTGGAGAACAGAGTGATGTGGTTCAGACATAGATAAGGATTGATTGTCTCTATATGGAAATGACAGGACATCCAAGCTCAGTATCTCCTAGTGCTAAAAGGTAAAAAAATGAGACTATTTCGCTTTCCTTTGAAATGTATTTTGAGATCTTATATAGTGCTTTCCAGGAATAACTACTACCCTACCTTATTTAAAGGAGTTTTCCAGTGGAATGCTCTATTTTGTGTGGTGGTATGGAGTCAAAATATTAGTCTTCAGTTACATGAAATTTATATATATAGAAAAGTTATTTTTAGTGCAGATGTATTCATGGTAACTAACATCCAGCAGCAGATTATTTCAGGGATATTGGTAGCCTTAGGATCTTATCTCTTGACACCTTTCCAAACTGCACATGCTCTCTAATGATCATTTCATGTAGTGAAATAGTAGTCATTTGAAATCACTTGCAGTTAGGCCTTCCCAGCTGCACTTGGGTTCATCCATCTCTTCTAGTTGAGTCTAACAAAAAATAGTTCCAGTAAGCTTACTTCAGAATCTTTAAAACAGCTTTGAAATTTTTTCAGTAACACAGCTTACACTGTCAGAGTGGATGACAGCGTAATACGGTTGCAGCAAAGTTATGATGATGTAGATAGCAGCAAAATTTAGTGACACTCATTTGAACTGCTATGTCTAACTTATTTATGCCTTTACCACTTGTGAGCAATGTGGTAATCCCAAAAGCATGGGCATTAATTTTCATATTGTCTGGTATCACTGAGTATTCTTCCTGTTCCAATATTAATCCTTTTTTTAATGATATTTTCAGTGTTATCAAGTTTACTGTCTTACCTGAACTAAAATTAAAATATGTGGAGCTTCTTTGTCCAGGATAACTGAAAAACATAATTTTAAAGAAAGAAGGTTAATGAGGTTAGAATAACAAGCTCAGGTTTGTATGAAGTGTCATTTCCTAAGAGTAAGAATAATTCATGGTAAAATTAAGCTACATAAATTGTGTCATGGAAAAGGCTTGTTACTTAAACCATTTGTCTCTGTAGAGTTTGCTGTTGATTAAAGTCTTGCAATAGTTATTGGATGCTGTAGAGAAAGATGACAAGATGAACTAATAGTTTTTTCTAACCTCTAGTATGGTCCTTTGCCTGAAAAGGCAAGCTACACTATTTTTAGAACTAGCTGCTTTCATAGTTGCCAGCAGTCTTGGCAGTGATTTCTATTACTGTGTGTTTTTTTTAATTCTACAAATTTGCATTTCTCTTTTGAATTTTAGATACCATTCCAGGGAGACAGTGCATGTCCTCCTGCTTCTTTCTTCTTAGACAGTTTCCTAATGTCCTAATTTACCTCAACTCAATCAAGGTTAGTATTATTATTTAGTATTGGTAGTACTGTAATGCATGGAATCACTACTTACAGACTGTACTATGTGAGACACAATGGAAACATAAAAAGATGCAGAAAAAACAATAAAAACAAAACACTGGAATGACAGTGGGACATAAGTGGTCAGTATGGCAAATGGATCAAAATGTAAAGAAGCAATTTAGAAAATAGCACCATGCAGCATGGTGGGCATGATGGTCTCATCACATTTGCAATTTAACCATTATCAGGCTTTCTGGTGGCATCATAGAAGATGAGGAAGATAATTAAAGGAAGACAGTGAAAAAATTTGTAGATATTTATGGGGTGGGCAGCATGGAGGGAAAAAACCCAAATGTTTTCCTAAGACTTATTAAATGAGTGATGGAGATTATTGTCAATGGTTGGGAGACAGCATTTTAATGAACAATAGTGTGTAAAGAACATAGGACATGAAGGACTCTGAAAATAATAACTCAGGGAACTGAGTTATAGCTACAGGGAAACCAGTTACTGAAGGGCTAAAACAGGGAAATATTACATTAAGAATGTTATTTTTGCAGAAGTTATTTGAGTGGTACCCTGCAGACAATGTTACTTTTTTCAAAGTAAGAGAAGTTTGAAGTCAATATGATGCAGCATTATCAGATCACCAGTATTCAATGGATAAAATGGGTATAACTTACAGATACACAGTTAGATGTGAGTAAAGAGGGGGCTGGAGTGTGATTATGGGTTAAATGATTGTGGTCTTGTTCCAGTGATTTGAAACTGGAGTTGTAACAAGAAATTATTTGGGAGATACACGAGATGAGCAGAATGACAATATTCTAAGGAGGGTGAGATCTAAAGAAAAACATGGTTGTAATGGTGCCAAAAGCAGTTGATGAGTGAAAAAATGATGAAGGTGTAGTTTTTAGACTTTGTCTGGAAATAGACCTTTGAGGAAATCCCAGTGGCTCTAGCCACTAGCAGGGCTCCAGTGTAGTGGAATGAAGAGACATACCACTACCACCCCAAAGTGGAGTATGTGTGTAATTAAGAAAAGGAAACTAAGGGTGAGAATTTTTTTGCCTAACTTGAACCATCTAAAAGTCATATTTCTAGTTAGAACTTGTCATCTGGTCTCAGTTTACAGACAGTGGGTATAGAATTTCCAGAAAATTAATCCTGTATATTTCTCACATTTACAGTGCAGTGAATCAGCCCACAGATATGCTCAGCTCTTTCCATTTCCATTAAAAGGTTCTTAAAAAGGTATTTCTAACCTGAAAAGGTCAAAGTTAAATGTGATTACAAACCACCTCCAAGATATATGGGACAAAAGTTTACTCCCTCCTACAACTTTTCTTGCATGGTCGTTTTGAAGTAATTGATCATTCTCATACTTTTTTAGCTGAGACTAAGCATGCTCAGATTTATTTAAGTCATTTCCCTCTCTTCAGCTCACAGGGATGCAAGTATTTCTTCCTTTACCATGTTACAGGCAAGGTGTAGGTGGCTTTACAGTTACCTTTTGTGTTTCATTCACAGGAATAAACTTCAGTAGAATCTCTGCAGCTCTTAAAGCGGAGCATGCACTCTGAAGATTATTTGTGTGATGTTCTCTCCAGAAACACCGTGTTCATCCATGATCAGTTAAAACTGCTTTAGGCATGAGAATTCTGAGAAGACACCTTATTATAAATGCGTTGCTAGCTGCCCCAAGGGTGACATTATAACACTGTCAGAGATCAACTGAGAAAACAACCTGATTCAGGCTCAGCTGAGTTGTGGCCACAATGGGAATTCTTCATTGCTCAGCTGGGTATCTGAGCACCTCATTGAAATGGACATCACTCAGAGGACAGTTAGTTTTATGAAAAGATTAAAGACCTCTAAAAAGACCATGAAAGAGTGAAGTCCAGTACGTATAATGTGGTTTTAAAAAAAGGAAAAAAAAAACAAAAACAAATAATCCTGAAACATCTGGCTGCTGTGAATGTGTTGCACTATCATCAGCATTGTTCATTTCTACTGCTTATGGTTTTGCAGTAGGTGTGTTCTCTAGCACTTATACAGCCTGGACAGAATAACAGATTTTCTGAGTTTGGTTGCTGACAGAGTTTCTTTTCCATTTTAATTTAAAAATACAGTGGAAACTATTTAAACAGAAGAAACGATTCACACAGTAAAACTGCATCTGGCTCACCAGCTTTGCTTAACCTGGGACTTGTGCTGATTCACTTCAAACTGCTGTTGAGAAAGAATACAGTAAAGTGTTGTAATCTCATATGGTGGAACCCATTAGTTCACCCTAAGGGTACTGCAATGATTTCACAAACTGAGCTTAAGATTCACCCAATTGGTTCATCCTCATGCTCTCACACAGTTTTCTATAATTGCCTGCTTGTAGACCCTAACATAGACTATTTGGGAGAAACCTAGACATTTGGCAAATGGTGGCAGTCCCCCACCTTTCCTTTCAAGGCACTAGCTTGATGTATGTAGGTGGACTGAATCGGTGCCCTTTGTTGACTGCCTATGGCAGGGAAGGGAAGAGGCTCCTCAGTGTCCCTACATCATGAAATAAGACACCACTGGGAAAGGGATTTGCCCCTTGCTTCCCATATCTTTTGTACAGTCCCAACTATGCTTTTTACCTCCTCCTCAGTCTTTAATGAGGAAACAAAACAAAAATTTGATCTTCATACACAAGTTCTGTTTCCTTTATAAATATTATATAAGAAAAACATTTCTTCTTCCCTACACTTTGCTGTGAAGCACCTAGGAAGGCTTTTCTTACAGTAACTACAATGGATAAACCACTCTCCTTTTTTCCCATGCTCTTTCATAAGCAGTGCACAACTAGTGGACAGGGATCATCAATCCCCATCCATGCTTGTAACTGTGATGTGTTCTATCTTATCTCTACCATTTCTGCTGATGCAGCAGTGTAGGACAGTGCTGAACGTAGAACATAGCTGACTTTTGGACATCTGAATTATACTTCACTCTGGACATCTGACCATGATAAAATCTTAGTTCTTCAGGTCAAACCCAAACATCAGGCTAGATGTTTGGTACCTGTACCTAGAGCTGCATTTTCTGCTTTGACCCATGTAGCTTTTCAACAAGATACAGCTAGATCAACCTGATGTGTCCTAAACCAGATGTGTCATGTCTAGTATTATAGAAGAGAAAAACTTTTTGTTGCACTTCAACTAGAAAGAAGGGTACCTGTAAGCAAGACTTGTAAAGGAAGTCCTACTACATGGTATGCTGCCTGCTGTAGCCCAGTACTGTGCTCCACCTCCATCATGCGATCCAGTGTGTCAGACTAGCATCTGTCACATAACCAGATCCACAGGATCTCTTGATGAACCTTGACAAGTCTTGGAAAAACAAAAGTGTTCGTCTCCTTAAAGACTTCAGGGAGTCAACTGCCTATTTACCCACCCTAGTGGTGAAATAAGTGCTTGGGAGGTGAAAGAGACCATGGCAGCACAGCATGTCTTGACATGCCCAAGTGAAAATTATACCCACAAAGGCTGCCACTGCAATTTTGAACTTGGAACATTTTCCAGATCTCTCATAGTTAATATTGTGGAATGTTTCAGCTGTGTTTGTAGTCATGAATGTAGGATGGAAAGCTAGTCCATAATTTTTCTGCCCAGTGTTTATAAATACCGTATGTTCCTAATGTGGGTTTTTCTTTTCCCTTCCCATTGTCTTTATATGGTCTGACTCAGACTGGGGGTGAGAGGTGTATTTTTAATGTTATTATATCATGGGAGGAGGAGTTTTTCGTTTTATTTATTTGAGCTTTATCCACGTGTCTTATTTTTCAGAGTTACTTCTACAATGATGACACTTTTAACTTCAACTATGCTCAAGCCAAAGCTGCAACGGGCAATTTTAAAGAGGCTGAAGAGGTATGTATTTACTTTCTTTAAAAAACAACAATGGAAACATTTCCCCCCTGCTCCACTTTCGTTCCCTTTCTCCCTCCAGATCTTCATGTTGGTTGAAAATAAGCAGGTTGTGTGGAATATCTTCTTCCCCTTCTTAGAGGAACTGAAACTCTCAGTGAATACTATTCAGAAAAGATTATCTTGCTAATCTTGTAATGTGAGGTATACGGGGAGTCATGCTGCTTGTGATGCATCACAAGCGTGCTTGCAGCTACCTCTAATTGATCAAAGAATGGCCTCTTAATCAGATTTCCTCTGCTTTGTCTGGGATCCCTGGCACTCTTTGTTCAGACTGATTAGGGCATGCTGAATAAAAGACACTGAATAGTTAAAAGCTTTTAGGTGTCCCTAGAAATTTTTGTTTAAAAAAAAAAGTCTTCCTCTGGGAGATGTGGGAGGAAAAGAGGAAGTGCTCACTATCTTATTCAGCAGCATCCACATGCAGCTGGAAGAGATTAACTTCTACACCCAGTACTTTTTTATGTCTGTGCAGCAGAAACTTAATTACAACTAAAATATGCAAAAGCAAATAGTTATTATGAAGATGGAAGCAACATTTTCCACAAGACCAGAAAGAAGACAAGCCACAAAAAAAAAAATCCCTACCACATAGTCTTAAGTGAATCATATAGGTTTGTTTGGTTTGGGAGTTATGTTTTTGTTCTGTTTTTCCTGTCTCTCTAACTTTTTAACTCTTTAGGTTTGTCAATAACAGAACCTTCCTGGTTTTACAGTTTTTCTCCCCCCTGTCCTGACCCCCTCACCCAGCACTCTTACCCCTTAATTTCTGTGACCTGAAATTTCATCTGTCTTTAAGAAAAATATTCCAAGACTGTCAGGGAAATGGATAGATATTTCAATTCACCAAGCTTTCAATTCACTTAGCTTAATGAAAATCTTTCAAAACTTTGCTAGTGGGCTATCCTGATTCCTGAGACTTCATAAAAATGATAGTGCTATAAGTAAGTTTTAGTAGCAGCCAGGCAACAAAGGAACACAAAAGTGTAGCTACTGTTAATATACATTTTTTCTCTTACGTTTTTTAGAAGTTGTTCTATAGAAACTTGTGTTATATAGCTGATGCATTTAAATAACAGAATTATGTAGTTAAATTGATTCATCTGGCCTCATGTCTGATCTCTGGTTGTGATGACACTTCCGCATAAAGATCAGCCTTCCCCAGTGTCTCATAAACTTGTAAAACATCTCCACACGTAGCACTTATTAAGTTATATAAAAGCATACCTCCCTGGACATAATGAAATAAAACCTATGTAAGTGCTACTTACAGTGATAATACTGCTTTTTTTTAATTTTTTCCCCTATTACTTCTTCTCCCTCCCCCCAAAATTAGGGGTTCAGCAATGTTTAAGCAATACAAATGTTAGTAATTTGTGGAACTCACTGTTCCAGTACATACATCTGCTCCTATAAAGGTATTTTGAGTTTTTCCAGTAGCATCCAGTATAGTTACAAATATACTAGAGAGACACATAAATAGCTTATTTTATCTGTGAGCAAAGCCAGAGTACATTTTAAAATGTATAACTTCCCACACACACATCCCTTCAGATGTAGAATGTAATAAACCTGTATTTGTACGGTAAGTTACAAAAGATGAATGCTTTGCCTCAGAACCTTACTGAAACCAAAATGGTTAGAAATGGCTTGTTGCTGACCTGGAATGATCTCTGACGTGTGGGGAGGAAAGGCTCATCTATATGTGAAACTTCTGGTATTTCAAGAAGATGCTAATGTAATTGCTTGCATCTCTTTCTAAACAAACACATTCCAAATAGCTTTTCCCACAGGCCCAGTGTTCCTTTGTGCTGTTTGTGTTGCATGGCCGCCCACTGGCACTTGTTCAGAGCAGGCCGCACCCTCTGCTCAGCTTGGCACTCTGAAACTGCACAAGTCCCTCGACAAGCAGGGCACTGTGTGAATCCTCCACCTACCCCACACAGAGTAGGGATGTCCCTACACTGCACTTAAGCCATGAAGAATTTGTGTGGCTTAAGCCTTAGCTGCGTGTTGAAACGAGGTAGGTTTGCCTTCTGTTTGTTTAAAAGTACATGCATGTATAATCTTCCATTTTCCTTCTTCCTGCAGGTGTTCCTTTTGATCCAGAGTGAGAAGATAAAGAGTGATTTTATTTACCTTAGCTGGCTAGCTCGCTGCCGTGAGTCACTTTACTCTCAACATTGCAGAATACAGATCCTCCTCTATTGCGTCAGTCCTGGCAATCCACTTTCCTAATTGAATTTAATGTTGTAGGTGGATTCTGGACTATGAAAGTGAAAAGCTGATTGCACTAGTTATAGTGTGGGTGGTTATTGCACCTTCGTACATCTGGCTTTTATAAGCAATTACTGCTTCAGTGCAATGTTCTTATAGTACTGTCAGTGCAGCTTTGTCCTGACCAGTGACCTTCTTTCTTCTCAATTGTCTACTCAATTGCTTGACTGAAGGCTTTCTGTCTTTAAAGACTGAGTTACAGCTCTAAAATGTTCAGAGTAAAACACGAAATAGAAGCATTCATACTGGGTCAGGCCCAAGGGTCTGTCTGCCTCCAAGGGTGGCCAATGTCAGATGTCTAGGGAAGAGAAGAATCAGACAAGCATATGTGGTATTTTGATTCCTACCATATTACTCCACATGTTGTCCAAACTCCTGTGCCCGAGGGATATCCTTTATAATCTCCAGCATGTTTTTTATTTCACAAACCTCTTCTATTCTTTCCTTGAACACTGGAAACTTTTGCTGTGTTTATTATTCTATAGCAAATCTTATTTACTTTTTCTGAACCAGTTTTTAAAACATTGCAGAGTACACCTCAGTACGGATACAGCTACAGTGCCACATACAAAATAATATAGAGGTGGACTTTTCTAGTGACTCAAGTCTGAGACTCCCTAGGCTAATTTGTTTTCCTTACAGTACCTCAATACAAAAATGTTCCATATCAAACAATTTTCAGTAGTTATACCTGAAATATAAATACGTAGGTTTTGGGACATTATGCCATACTGCAGATGTAGTAAACATCTCTTAACATGATCTTTCACAGAATATACTGAGTTGAAAGGGACCACAAGCATCTTTGAGTCCAGCTCTTAGCCCTGCACAAGACCATCCCCAAGAGTCACACCATGTGCCTGAGAGTATTGCCCAAACACTTCTTGAATGCATTGTCTTGTATAAAAAATTTCTATAATGCTTTCTATTCTGTTCCTCAATCACACCTGAAATCATGAGAGTTGTTCTTATTGCTGTGAAATATAAATTGAGATGTAAACACCATAATTATTCCTCTTGACATTGACGTTCTCTGATGAATTGGCTGTTATCACTAGTAAGGCAGAAGATAAGGACAAGTTTTCCTTCCCAGGCTCATGCTCATGCTGAGGCATGCATTTACATTAAGCAAAGAAATACAGGAACATCTATTCCACCTGCCATTGAGTATTGTGTGTGGCATATTCTTTTCACAATTTCAGCTTTTTCTTCTTATTGCAGATATTATGAATAAGAAACCACAGTTGGCCTGGAAGCTCTATCTGAAGATGGAAACCTCAGGGGACTCCTTTAACCTGTTGCAGCTCATTGCAAATGATTGCTACAAAGTGAGTTTTCTCTTCAGAGCTTGGTATATGACATGTTAATTCGATGATTGTCCCAATAGTCATTTTTTGGATACTTTTTATCATTGTCATCACTAGTGAACTTTCTTTTATAACAGCAAGATGTCTAATAATGTGGATGAGTTGGCAAGGGTTAGTCAGTATTTTAACCTACAGGTCTGCTTGATAGACAACCCATTGATTAAAACGTTGGTAAATTACTGCATGCTTGAGCTATCAATAATAACAGTTTATTTTCCTCCTAGAAATTCATTATGGGTAGAATTGACAAAAAACTTTTAATGAAAAAAAACTAGCATAGATTTGGCAAGGAGCCTCATGCTGCTTTTTTTTCCTGAGACAGTATTATGTTTTCCTTAAAGTTTGTAATGGCAATGAGAGATACTCCTTGTGATCTCAAAAGCATTATTCTAAAACTGAGAGAATTATCTCTTGCACGTCTTTCAAGTACTCAGTCCACCATCTCACCCTAGAAGTCTTGTTGCTCAGGCAAGTGACTATGCCTCTGGTGTTTCCTGTAGATGCAATTTGTGAAAGCAAGTTAGAAAACAGACATGTAAAAACTCTCTCCAGACCATTTAAAGTCTTACTTAAATCAGTTGATTGCTTTGTCTAAATTCTTCTGAAAAGCTTATTGTACTCAAGAGGAGAAGCAGCTCCACATTTTGGATTCATCTAGAGCCCTGAAAAACTGCACTTAAAGGGCTAAATTTTTCAGCCTAATTATATGTCTACATATAGCCATAAATGCTCCAAAGGCCAAGGAATTTAATTTCAAGAATTGTTACTATGGTGTTAAATGTCTTTCTACACTAGCAGCTGCCTGTACCTCTTCCACTAAATAGCAAGGTCCATGTTGAGTTTATGTGGCATTTTTCAGTTGTTTCTGAAACATTACATTATATTAGAGGTCCACAGACAGCACCAGAAATGTAACTTAAGAAGGCAGTTGCACTAGGCTTTGCTCAACAGAAAGCAGAATGAGCATGGATAAAGCAAGGTCAACAGTGTCCTTAGACTAGGTGTAGCCGAATGCCCCATTGCTGTGCTGACAGAAGTTGTTCAGTGAGGAAGCTAGGATGAAGGACTTTTGGCTAATTTCTTGATGCTTTTTATGCAATTGCCCATCTTGTCCATATAGGGAACAGCACATGACTTGGGGTGAAGCATTTACTACTTTAATGTCAGATAGAAGGAGGACATTAAACCTATATCTGCTTAGTGGAACTAGATCAGATACTAATTTGGATAGATCAGTAACAATTTTTTCGTTTTAGCTGACACATCTGATACCGTTTATTTTCGCTATCTTTATTCCCATACCTTTAAGTGCTTTCCAGTCACCAGTGATTCAAATCAACTTCTATGTGAAGAAAAGAGAATTAGTACTCATTCTGTAGTACCAGTGTTTCTCTGACTAAAGTTTCCCAATGTAACTCCCTCAGCCTACCCTTTTTTCTCTGCAGAGGCTTCCAGCTATCAAAGGATGGGAGGTTATGCTCAGTCTACCTTCTGTGCTCTCTCATGGGAAGATGCCACTCACAAACAACATTGCTATTCAGGCTTGCCCAAGTGGAGAACACTCACAGTCATAGATGCAGCCTACGAGCTATGCTGACTTCAAAATCCACAGTTAATATGGTCACTCCTTTTGCACTGAGTGTTGCCAAGCAACTTGCTTCTGGTTCCCAAACACAAGTAGAGAACCTAAAGCAGAAAAGTTAGAGTACACACTGGATTTTCCTATGCTCAGAAAAATTTTGGATTATGGAGTCACTGAATCTTCTTTTGTACTGTACTGTAAAAAAACATTTTAACTCCTAAGTTAAACCCACAAGACATACAAATATGTGACCATCTCTACATGTGGAAATATGATTCTATTTTCAAATGTTTGGACTAGTTTGAGGTTGATATTTGGTCAAGGGCTTTGGTATAATTGGTAGGACGCTAGATAAGGGCACCTCAAAAAAGATGTTATAATACCTCCTCTATAAAACTGAAATGTCCCTGTTCTGTGTCACTTGATGCCTGCAGAAAAACAGGAAAATGCACGTTGCTTCTATGACTTACTTCTCATTTCAGAAAACTGAGCTCAGTGTTTTTAATCTCCTTCTGAAAGATGATCATACAGTCAGGAATAATGTTCACTTTCTTTGCAGATGGGTCAGTTTTACTATTCAGCCAAAGCGTTTGATGTTCTGGAGAGACTGGACAATAATCCTGAATACTGGGAAGGCAAGAGAGGTGCTTGTGTGGGTGTATTTCAAATGATCTTAGCTGGTCGAGAAGCAAAGTGAGTATTCTGTGTTGCATTTGAATTTATTTTGCTCTTTTCCTGTTTTCAGTTAGCTGTAAGATAGAATCATAATCTTAGCTTTAGGACTCCATATCTTTTTCCAATTCATTATTGACCTTTCAGAGAATAGACACTGTGGCCAGTGGTTCCATATGCAGTTTTCAATTTGAAGTGTATCTTCCACGACAGTATATGGTGAAGAATAACTTATCAGCGAATGCTGTGAACTGTAAGACACCAAAATACATTAGTCATCATACTACAAGAAAAGTTAGGCTATAAACGTAGTAGTATGTTCATGAGCTGGGGGAAAGCAACTTCATATCGATGGCATTAGAATGAAAACTGTCACATAACATTTTAGGGTTCATAGAATAGAACTAAGGAAATGTTTATTCAACACTGTAAGAAGGACACGATTTCTCCAAACAATGAGTAGATGAGACTGTTTTCACTAAAATTTGCTTTCTGAAGACACTGTCCATGTGAGACAAACATACATACTTGATGAAAGATTAAAGGAAATCATCCATGTTACTGATAATTTTGGTTTCGGCCCATTTCACTGGATGGGAGAATGAGAGAGAGTAGTGAGGCTGTATTTAAGAACTGTTCCCTTGTGAATATTCTGCGGTGATGCCAGATGGCCATCGTCCATCAGGCCAAAGTTGCTGTTTCCTATGTGACTGACAGGTATGTATCTTGGCTTCTACACCTTCCTTCCATTCACTTCTCTGCTGGAATAATCTCACTAACTATAGCACCTTACAAGTGTCCTTTTAGCAATCACTGCAGCAGATGCAGTAAAATACATATAGCTTCTCTGTTTTTCAAAATATGCAAACAAGTTCTTACTGCAAACTAGCTGGCTAACTGCAGCAGAATACTGGTTTATCCTATTTGTAATGTTCATTTCCCTGTTATTTGTGTTTATGTGTAAGGTGCTTTGACAGTATTAAGCTAGATGTTGCCATATTAAAGACTAGCAAATAACATTAAAGATTAAAAAAAAGTTTGCTTTGTTCTATTTTGCAAGAGTAAAGATTTATATATAAATACACACACACATGCATGCACTAAGCTCTAAACTGATTACATTTTGCTGGAGTTTTTTTACTTTTAATTTCTATACAATTGTATAGAAGACTTTTTTGTTTGGTTGGTTTTTGTCCCTGGGATCTCATCGACTGTACATTTTAACCTTTTTCTGCTCTGCAGATGAACAGACCTCTCTATCTAGGAGGTCCATGTTTTGCAAAATAGTTTGATTGTTTATTGTCATTTATTGTATCAGTTGAGTCTTAGCCTCATTTAAATCTTTGTTTCCACCTTTGTAGAGAGACTCTGCGGGAAGTACTGCATCTTCTGAAGAGCAATGGTAATTCTCAAGTAGAATATATTGTCCGCATCATGAAAAAGTGGGCCAAGGAGAACCGAGTCCCTGTTTAAGTCAGTACCACAAAATGAACTGGGTCAGTTGCTACTGTATGTCTGGCTGCAAGATGTGGGTTTTGGTTTCTCCTGTGCATTCTGACTATCTCCTTCCTTGCAGGACTTTAGACATTCAAGCAGGTTGACCCAGCTGAGGAAGAGTGTACTGCAGTGAGATTGCAAAACATTCAGCAAGTTAATTAAAACATTTTATATCTTGCACCACTCTCTATTCCTCAATGTTTCTTTTTTTCAGTAGTAATTTTAACTGTCCACAAGTAAAGTGCTCCTCAAATATTGCCCAGATTTCTCCCCAAGAGTTACTGAACTGCTTTGTGGTTTGTTTTTTTCCAGCAAGCCTTCTGGCCTCTGGAGAAGAATTATTTGTTATATGACTGAGACAAGCCTTCTTCAGCAAGTGATAGAATATGGCAAATAAGAGATGGTAATGGTGATGACCAAAAGGCTACTAGGGTATCAGATAATACAGAAGACTTGCAGAATCATACAATCATAGAACAGCTTGGGTTGAAAGAGACCTTAAAGATCATCTGGTTCCAACCCGCCTGCCATGGGCAGGGATACCTTCCATTAGACCAGGTTGCCCAGAGATCCATCCAGCCTGGCCTTAAACACTAACAGGGTTGAGGCAACTTCTCTAGGCAACTTGTTCCAGTACCTCACCACCCTCACAGTAAAGAATTTCTTCCTAATATCTAAGTTAAACCTACTCTCTTTCAGTTTGAAGCCATTTCCCCTTGTTCTGTCACTACATGTCTCTCTCCATCTTTCTTGTAGGACTTCTGTATGTTACCTCTCTGGGCTAAAATACAAATCATATTCTGAGCACTAGCCTTTTCTGGATAAATTTCAGTAACTAATATCTTAATTTCTTTTTTGTTGTTTTTGTCTAAGGCTTGTTTTCTGTCCTGTCATCTTTTTCAAAGCATGGAGATTTATTGGTCTGTATTGTTCAATCTTATTTTGAAGTTTAACACTCAAAACATTCATGTTAATGTAGTGCACATGAGAAACTATTTAGTTTAGCAATCTGGTGGATAAAAAGATGTTCTGAATCATTTTCTTCAGCATTTACCACTGTCATGAGCAACCATATTCATTATACTTTTGGATTTATTAGACTCTTCTGTTTTTTAAGGAGAACAGCTCAGGGAATACGTAATTCTAAAAAAAGCAAGAGTTGTAACATAAAAATGTGTTATATATTTGGTAGTTGTGATGGCTTTGGTCAGTTACCAGAGGACTGAGACTCTAAACAGGTCACTCCCCTTTTGCGTTAAGCTCTCCCCATCCCCCTCCAATAATGAAGGGACAATACGAAGGCATATAAGTAAAAAAATAACAAATTACTAAAGAAAATAGCAGTCACTACAATTATACAAATGAAAACAGTTTAAACCAGCAAAGGGGAGAGGGGTTTCCATGCTGGACCATGCGGCTCAGTAGAACAAAGAAAAACAATATGGCAAAAAAGTTTCTGCAATCTAATGCCCTCCCCCAACCAGAAAACAACAGAGAACAGAGGCCAAGCAAAACCTGGAAAACTATTTTGTCCAAAAGGAGGTGTGCTGCTGAAAACACTGACTCAGCAGTGGCAGCAAAGTGGCGACTCCAGGCTTATGGCAGCTGGGACTTGGGGGGTTTTTGCCACCAAGCTCTCCCAATCCAGTCCAGGCCATGGCAGCCCTGGCAGTGACCGTCACTAGGCTTCAGAAAAACAGCTGCCCCTCCCTCCAGCAGCAGGGGAAGAGTGTGCACCCTTGCCCTTCCAGTCCATGGCTTTTTTCCCTGTCAAGCCCATGCCCCCCATGATGATGTGACAGTGTCAATATTCATCTCTAAAGCTCCACCCACTGGCTTTGTAACTGTAACATTATCCACCCCTTACTCTATACCATCCACATTATGCCCAGATTTACACCTTTCAACTATATACATACATCTCTCTATATATATATGCACATATAATTATACAAACAATGGTATTATTTCAGTGATCACCGACCATTCCCCCAAGATGTTTTGTTGAGTTCATTTAGTCCATGGGATGTATGGTATACAATGGCAGTATCATTCAGCAACCAGTATTATACATACAATTCAATATGAGAGATGGTTTTCACCCAAAATCAGGTCCCCTTGAGGTACACGTGGTGTTCCCCTGTCCCTCTGCATTAGTCAGCAAGTGCACCCAGGTCCTTGAGCAAAAACAATCCCATGGATGGGCTTGTTCTTTCTTGAGGCAGGAGTAATCCAAACTATCTTTCGTATTTCTCATATGCACCACAGGGACTTCATCTACAGTACACAAGGGTTCTGATTGGGCAGGGCCAGCTTGATTGATAGAGCCTCTAGTGTTGACTAACTAGGTGGCCTTTGCTAAATATAGATCCAAATGTTTGAAGGTCCCCCCACCCGTTGCCTTCAATGTGGTTTTTAACAGTCCATTGCACCATTCAGTTTTCCCAGAGGCTGGTGCTTGATAGGGAATATGATACACCCACTCAATACCATGCTCTCTGGCCCAGGTGTCTATGATGCTATTCTTGAAATGAGTCCCATTGTTCGACTCAGTTCTTTCTGGGGTGCCATGTCGCCACAGGACTTGTTTTTCAAGGCCCAAGATGGTGTTCTGGGCAGAGGCATGGGGTACATCTCTAGCCATCCAGTGGCTGTTTCCACCATTGTAAGCATGTAGTGCTTGCCTCCACGTGTTTGTGGGAGTGTGATGTAATTGATCTGCCAGGTCTCCCAATATTTGTATTTCAACCATCGCCCCCCATACCACAAGGGCTTTACTCTCTTGGCCTGCTTGACTGCAGCACATTTCACAGTTATGGATAACCTGGGAGATAGTGTCCATGGTTAAATCCAGCCCTCGATCATGAGCCTATCTGTATGTTGCATCTCTTTCCTGATAACCTGAGGCATCATGGGCCCACCGAACCACAAATAATTCACCCTTATGTTACCAGTCCAGATGTACCTGAGACACTTCAATCTTTAACCTGTTTGTTGTTATGATGCTCCTTGTTGGCCTGACTCTGGAGTACATGTGCATCTACATGATGAACTTTCATGGTCAACTTCTCCACCCGGGGAAGTGATGTCTTGCCACACTTCAGCAGCCCAGATGGGTTTCCCTTTGTGCTGCCAATTGGCCTTTTTCCATCAAACCAGCCACCCCCATAGAGCACTTACTGACATCCACGAGTCAGTGTAGAGGTAGAGTGTTGGCCACTTCTCTCTATTTCAGTGACATCTAAAGCCAGCTGGACAGCTTTGAGCTCTGCAGCTGGGTCTGATTTGAATCACCTTGTCCCTTGGTAGCTTCTGCAACTTGCCACATAGGGCTCCATATGCCAGCTTTCCATTTTCAGTTTGTCCCTACAGTATGACAGGAACCATCAGCAAAGAGAGCTTATAGCTTTTCATTTTCTGATAGCTGATTATCTGGTGAGGCCTCCTTAGCACTGGTCACCTGCTCCTCTTCCCGATAGTCTACAATTCTCACCTTCAGGCCAGTTCATGATGATCTCCAAGATCTGTTGGTGATTAGGATTTCCTGTCCATGCTCGCTGTATGATGAGAGTGATCCATTTAATTCATACAGCATCAGTGGTATGTGTGGAAGGAATTTTTCCTTTGAAATCCCCCTCAGCAGTGGCAGTTGGGGCACCAGGAGGAGCTGTGCTTCAGTGCCAATCACTTCTGAGGCAGCTCAAACCCCTTCATAAGCTGCCAGTATCTCTTTTTCAGTTGGAGTGTAACAGGCCTCAGATTCTTTGTATCCCTGACTCCACAACCCCAGAGGTTTTCCTTCCCAGGCAGTTTTTGCCAGTGGCTCCAGGAAGGACTCTTCTCCCCGGCTGCAGTGTAGAGCATTTTTTTTACAGGGCCTCACTTGAAATTGTTCTTCCATGTCACAAGGCAGAGAGGGCTTACAATCTGACTGTACTCTGGGACATGCATTCCCCAAAAGCCCACAGCACCTAAGAAAGCCTGTGTTTCCTTCTTGCTGGTTGGTGGGGACATAGCTGCTATTTTGTTAATCACCTCTATTGGAATCTGGCAATGTCCATCTTGCCACTTTACTCCTAGGAACTGAATTTCCTGGGCAGGTCCTTTGGCCTTATTTTGTTTAATGGTAAAACCAACTTTCAGGAGAATCTGGATTATCTTCTCTCCTTTCTTAAAAACGTTGTCTGCCATGTTTTCCCATACAGTGATGTCATTGATGAACTGTAAGTGTTGTGGAGCCTCCCCTTTTCCAGTGCAGTCTGGATCAGCCCATGGCAAATGGGCTGTGTTTCCACCCCTGGGGCAGTCAGTTCCAAGTGTATGAATATTCATTGCTGAAGCTCCACCCCCTGGCTTTGTAACCAGAACCATGTAGTGAAAAAATATTTGTATATTATTTATAAAGGAAACTTTAAATTTTATAAATTTGTAAAATACTTAAATATTTTTTTATCTTTTGGGGGGAATTCAGAATACCATATTCTCTACTGTCTGTGCATTGATTAAAGCTCTTAACTGAATGTCTGGTTGGTCTGTGTTGCTTCCTCTTGCAGAAGTTGAAATAGCATATTCATTTTGCTGTGGAAGAGGGCAGGTTTGAGGCTGGTCGTTAAGCGCATGTTCATTAATCAGTCAAAGGCAAGCCAATGGCCTTGGTCCTGATCTTATGGTAGTTTGCTGAAAATAAGGCAGCTAGGTATATATGGAACATACCTCTCTGCCATTTAACATGTCAGTGTTTTTACTGCTTCAAGCAAAAAATGTGGGTATCATCATTCAGATGTCTAGAAGTACATTGATAGTTGTGGCTACTTGCATTTACATGTAGAAACTGAGCCATCATAATAGCAACAATACCAGAGCCTTTCAGCAGGGGCAGGAGCAATGTTACACTCATTCAAAAGAGGTGTGAAAGGAGCAGTATTTTCACTGAAAGCAGTTACAAAACACGTTTCACTTGTAAATGGCATTTTTCTTTCCATCCCAGTTTAATTAACTTGGAAACAGATCGGGAATACAATTATGAATCTTGGTACAAAGCTTCAAAAAACCATGTTGGTGGCTTTGTAGCAGATGTTAAATGCATCTAATTACTCCCTTTATTGAAGCTTAACCTGCAGGAGAGCTGAAGAGCATTCAAATCCATTACAGACCATTTTACATATTGGTTGAATATTTTGAAATAAGTG